TGGACAGGGCTTACATACCCTTAAATAATATATACAAAAAATATTCTCCTGAAGACCTTTGATTTGGAATCTATGTACATTTATTGTAAGCTTTAGCTAAAGCTTATTTGAATCATCAATAGACAAGTTAAGTTCAATATAAAAAATTTCCTCAAAATCTATCCATTCATTTTTCAGTGTTACAATTTATGAATCAGCATGCCCGTAAATGAACTCATAGAATCATGTGCTCTATAGAAATGATTCTCGGTGTAATGTCGATTGGTTTGTATCCACACATGTTCGCCTTGTTGTACTCGATATAAGACGACTTTAGTAGCTGGTATGTTATTAGTACCACTGTTTACCACCGACAAAAGGGGCCACAAATATTCCATTTTCGGTACTAAAGTGATTCCCTTCATTAATTACAGCGTTGTCGAACACTGCAATCGAGTTCTTGTTCAATGTCGTTGTCCTTGACAGACGAACATAAAATACCATATGTTCACTTTTGTGTCCAAGACCTTCAAAATGATCAGAAAATATATTGCAATTATTTATGACATAATTTGATTGGCCAATATTCTAAATAAGATTTCAATCTGTGCATGTCATTATACGGGTCGTTTCAGCGATATGCATGACATTCGTTCATAGATGATATGACTCATGCAGCCCCTATAGTCATTCTATATATCCATGATATATTTTTTACTGACGTCAGCAAATATTCATTTAATCAGTTCACATAGTTATTAGTCGTGACAGTACATTTGGACTTTTTATGGACGATCTTTTAAGGCCACTTTTATTTCTTTGAATTGAAAATTAAATGTGTTATAAGCTTTTTAAATAACACCCTTCAGATTTTCTCAAGACATTAGACTGCCTGATATCAGTATTCATGTTATTTTGGGATTTACAATTCATTTAGGGCTTTGAAACTACTTCTATTTCATTATTAATTGAAAAATTTTGCAATTTCTCTAAAAAGAGAGGAGAAAGATACCAAAGGGACATTCAAACTCATAAGTTGAAAATAAACTACGCCATCACAAAAAACAAAAAGACCAAAAGACAAACAAATGTATAGAAAACAGAATATAGAAAACTGATGACTGAAGACTGAAGACTGGGCAACACGAAACCGGGTGTGACCTGAGGTGCTCCGGAAGGTTAAGCTGATCCTGCTCTACATATGACACCCGTAGTGTTCCTAATGTAATTACAAACCCGGTAAAATTCTAATTCTGTAGGTTATATTTGGAGAAAAGGAAGACGAGATTGTGGTTACGACGATTGGAATATACCTGTCGTCATCTGTGGAACAGATATTCCATAACGGTCAACCAACTCGTGATGGCGTCCGTAACATTTTCGATGAGATGGTTTCAACTTCACCACGTGGAACTCTTGGTTTAATAGCTTCTTTGTGAGCATCAACCCTCTATCAAGGAAATCATGATAGGAAACACAAGCCCTGGAATATCGTATCAACTGGGAGATATATACTCCATTGCAGGCGCTGCTGAAATGTTGCTACCTAAAAATGCAAAGTTCACAATTGGGAGGCTGAAATCATCTCTTTTGTCGTAAGTTTTGTTTTCAACCGACCCTCTTTGTCAATTTCTAGATGTAAGTCAAGAAATGAGGCAGACTTAACCCTATCTGTTGTATCCTTTATTTCAAGTTCGATAGGATAGATGCGTTAAACATAGTCACCAAACTTTGAATTATTCAATGTGAGGACAAATAGTGTTTAGTATTCAGACAATAAGCTACAGCCTCACCATAGCAGCGTTTTATAGATTTATAGATTGTAGGTGCTGACAATGCGTATCTTTTTGTTAACTTTACAGTTTTCCTTTCATTTGTCTTAGTGCTATTATGTTTCTTTTGATAGTATCTTCTGACGTGACGCGGTATTTATGCATCTCGCTATCGTGTTTTTGACTTTGGACGTTACTTGTGCAGGTGGGTCCTGAGGTGCGACTCGGACGCAAGAGGTTTTGAAGTGTTGTTTCCATTTTGTTTGCCCTTATACGTGTATTCATATTTTATTTACTTAATTTGTACTTCATCTTAAAGTGTAAACTACATGTTTATACGGTATGTACTATCAACTACAAAAAACTTTGTTATCGACGACTTTGGTCAATTTGCTATCAACTACAAAAACTTTTCTGTTGGCGTCTCAATCAAATTTACTATCAACTACAACACCTTTTTTGTGGGCATCTATGTTAGATTGATTTGCATGTTTGTTTGAATATTTTAGTCTGTTGTGTTGTGTTGTGAATTTTGCTACATTGAAATAGAAAGTTCACAATTTGGAAGCTTAAATCATCTCCTTTGTGGTAAAGTTTTGTTTTCAACCGACCCGCATTGTCAATTTCTAGATGTAAGTCAAGATATGAGGCAGACTTAATTGTATCTTTTGTATTCTTTATCTCCAGTTCGATGGGATAGATGCGTTCAACATAGTTACCAAATTTTGAATTATTTAGTGAGAGAACATCTAAGGTTACTGCTAACAAGACGTTGCTGTATGAAGTCGTCCTGTTATGAATAAATGAACAAGAAGAGGAGCACAGTTGGTTCCCATGAGACTGGTTCCCGGTTGTTTTTTTTGAAAAACACTTCCTTCAAACGTAACAAATATTATGTCAATCAAGAAACCAAGCATCTTGATAATGTCAGTTTCATAGAATTTTTTGTTTCAATTAGAATGATTTTTTACAAAGTACGATTTATCTCTCATTAAGACAAGATACTTCTATCTACGTTGGTCATTCTTTTTTATGAAACAAAGCAGGACCAACTCTTTCAATTTGTCTTTTAGTTTGGAATGTGAAATACTTGTGTAAAGTGTAGAAAAGTCAAATATTTTAATACTATTGCAAGATGAAAGAGTCTTAGATTGTATGTACTCTAAACGATCTTTGGATTTTTTTAGTATCCACATCTGATTCACGCCACCCTTGGATTAGATAGTTTCAAAATAACTTTGTAGCCCGGCTTTGATGGTTGATAAAATTAATGTTAATACTTTAGAAAGAGGTTTTGTGGAGCACTTGGAAGAGCAAGCATAATAACGTTGAGAGAATGGGGACAACAACCCGACCAAAGAGCAGAAATCATCCCAAGGCCACCAATGGGTTTTCAGCATAGCGTGAAAACCCCGCACCTGGAGGCAGGCTTCAGCTGGTCCCTTAACAATATTGTATACTAGTTCAGCAAAAATTGAGGTCACACTAAACTACGAAACATATCAATGAACCAACCGTTTTGTCGGTTTTTTTTCATAAATTTCCGGTCTCTCTTCGACTTATGAGTTTTGATTCTCCCTTTGGTATCTTCTGACACTTATTTATGCAAAAAAGGTCCAGATGTCTATTATAAAAATAGGTGTATATAAAGATGGTACAAGCTGGTGGTAATGGTCAACTATAACTCAAATTATATGATGGTTTGTGTACAATTGACTAGCATACAAAAATAACCTAAGGTCACTGAAGTATGCATGACGTCTGAGTAAAAGTGACTCAGATGTCAAAGATCTAAACAAAGTAACACAGAGATTTGCAATGTGAAATTGTATTGATATACCAGCATGGTGTGTTATGATATGAAGCTACATGCAAAACTTTCAAGTTATTCATGCTTAACATTAAGAAAAAAAGTATAACAAAAATACCGAACTCCAAAAGTATTGAACCATATGTTGTTAATGTACATGCATTATTCAAGTGTAGTGAGGCTTGGTACCATTGACAGACTTAAACCCAAACCTTTTCCAAATCAGATCGAGGTAACTCTAGCTCAAATCGTAGTCAATCTCTTTATAGGGTAAACTGTGAACATTTCTGTTTTAATGATGTGAAAATATTTAGTCGCCGTATAATACCGGAAGAATACAATTAGTAACGATGTAAAGATTTAAAAAAAGAACAGAGTTCCAATGGCCCCCACGTTGCACATCTTACCTATCTAATGGCAATAACTAAACAAAAACACTTTTTACAAATATGTTAGAGAAATGAAGGCTTGAGAGCAAATACAATGCAATTTCCAATATAATTAATATTTCCAAGGGCATAACTCCTTTAAAAAATATTTGATCGGCACTGATTTTCGAACTTGTCCGAGACATTGCTCATATATACCTATAATATAAGTTTGATAAAAAATCTTGCAAAAATTGTACACATGAGATCGCTTTCAATGCAATTTTCCATATAATTAATATTTCCAAGGGGCATAACTCTTTTAAAAATAATTGATTCATACAGATTTTCGAACTTGTTCGAGACATTGCTGATATAAATCTATGATATAAGTTTCATAAAAATCTTGAAAGAATGTTTACATGAGAGCGCTAACAATGCAATTTTCAATATAGTTAATATTTCCAAGGGCATAACTCTTTCAAAAATAGTTGATCGGTACTCATTTTCGAACTTGTACGAGATATTGCTGATATAGACCTATGATATATAAGTTTCATAAAAATCTGCCAAGAATTGTACACGTGAGAGCGCTAACAAGACCGGACGGACGGACGGACGCCTGGTATTTCTATGACTCCCGCAACGCGTTGCGCGAGGGACAAAAAGCGTAAAATTAAAAAAGCAACGTAACGTCGTAACGATTGAAATTTACATACAAGAGGAATAATTGTTATATACTACTAGACCGATGGTACCCTCGTAGACCTATAGCCCACATGGTACCCTCGTAGACCTATAGCTCATCAGCAGCGAGAAAACACGTGATTCTAGAATAAATCTTTCTTAATCATAAAATTCATTCCTGTAGTTAAAAAAAAAGTAACTACCTTTGATTTTGAACATACGGAACCTTTAATTGAAGCCAAGTCTTTTTAATGTCAACTTCTTTGTTAATATTATTTTATTGACAATATGCACTAAAGTCGTATAAGTATTGATGATAGATATCATGGGGGATGGTGTGGAGGAGTGCTACGTCAATGTAAAAGCAAACTAATGACACAAAACATCTGTAACCAAAATTTAAATCAAAAGTCTATTATCACTTATTGGCATGTATTGAATATAATATAACGATACATTAAATTTTAAAGTAACGCAAGTAACAATACATCTGAATGATTATTACATTTTGTAACATGTTCTAAATTAATTGTTCTAGATAAATGTTCAGTCTCACAACATGTATAAAAAAACAAATGACAATGAATAGTCTTATTCTGTACTCAATAAAATATTGCTTGCACGTCATCCTTTGCATGTGTTCCATAATTACATGACGTGAATTCACTCTTTCTTCGTTTCGTTGATGACACACCTTTAGTATATGGTAGAAATTTCACTGTCATCCGGGCTTCACACAGATTTCTTGCTGGAAAATCTTGCATATCATCACCACGTACGTACATATGTCGTTCTGTGACATCTTCCGTTAATATGCAGTGTATATAGTTTGTAGGGTCAGTACCTGCTACACAATATACCTAGGGAAAAATTATGATAATTCTTAAACGTCTTGTGAAAAATCAATTTTCTAAATATCAAATGAAACATGAAAGAACCAAACAATGTTATTCTCTTTGGTCATCTGTGAAAAGAAAACCGCACCACGTCTATGCAAATGACAAGAAAGAATACAACTGTCTAAATGTTGTTGGGTGGCGATGAATTTTAACTGTATTTTCATTATTTTTTTTACATTTCCTGTGTTGTTTTATGACGATATATACATATAATTGTTATCTAGCTTCTATAAATTATCAAATCGGCCATCTAAAAAAAATACAGTGCTAGATTGGCATTGTATTATAAAAGACTGACAAAAATTATTGTTTTTAATGATATACTATGCACTTATTGTAGCTAGCAGCTTAAATGACAGTACTGTACAAATGCATTTCCTAATCGATATTTTGGGGAAAAAATGAAGCAAGGTATTCAGAATATACCTGTACTTTTCATAAACTTTTAATATGAAAGCAAATCTAGTGTTTAAGTTATACTTACATGTATAAATCAACTTAAATACGTAAAGCAATATTTAAGGGTTAATAAATACGAACTACGGTTTGTCCTTAAGCTTTAATTCACAACCATGACAGATATTATGAATGAATACACACATAATTGCAATAATTTAAATAAATATAAATCTATCTTTTTAATTTAATCTGTCTTAAATATATTCCATATTCCTATGTGATATGAATTGTCATAAATGTAGTTCCTTGTTAATGTCATCATCATGTTTGATATGAGCATATTTTAATTTTCTAATCTGGGTAGAGCTAACACCATGAGTATATGGAAGCAGGCAGACAGGCATGACAGATTGTACAAAGGGTCTAGAAGGAAAGCTTGGCATATCATCTCCACGGACATACAATGCTGTCTGGTAAGCTGATAAAGCCACAACAGAGGAAAGGTAGGTGGTAGGATCAGTGCTCCCAATACAAAACACCTTAAGGTAAAGTGTAAAATAAGTTAACAAATTATATCATAGTATTATTCCTATGTTAGCCATTACAAACTTCGCCATCAGAGCCGTAGATGAAACACTTATACGAGATATTATTCCTTTCAAAATTTATGTTTTTATTGATTTGATTTACATATGGATATGGCAGGTTTTACAGAATTTTTTGTCTTTCTTTACCATAAAACAAAATATTGTAAAATTGCTACTCTAATGGTAGGTCGATTAATAATTTTTTCTCATCACTAGTTGCACATTATTTTATAATCAACATTTTAATTGCTTTAAAGTTTTTCATCTTATGACGTCAAACTTATTTGTAGTTCCTGGTTTTGTCTTTATGTCGACACGAGCAAAATTACACAGACCTGATGACGTCAAACAGACAAAAGATATTTTTCGCCTATCAAAATACACCAAAGTTTGCGTTAGTTGTCTAAAAATCATTATTGAAATAGATACTACAACTGTATCCCTAACAATATTAATTTTCTCTAATTTCAATATTTCAATAATAGCAAAATGTGAGAACGATCCGCGACCAACTTGTTTTGTTTAAGACATCTGCCATTTTAGAAGTTAAATATTGCTAGTCACCATAAAGCATTTAAAATTTCTCACAAAAAGATGTTGGATTCCGTAGTGATTTTTTTAATTGTATGTTACATTTAAACAAAACGTAATACATAATTGTTTCTCGGAATTCGTGTGTTTATAATTACTGTTGTGCTTTTAAAACGACAATTTAAATAAAAAATGACATTTTGATTCTTCTTATATTCTTATTCCTTCATTAATTTAGATCAATATACAATTAACACAAATTTCTACAATTCAAAAAACATAGTTAACTCTTAAAAATATAAGCAAAATGAATAGCTCTTGCATAAATATAGGAAAATTTAACATAGCTTTAAAATATGGATTAAAAAATTGTGTAGAGAAAGTGCAATATTCTAGCTACTATTCATATTAGGTATTGGGTACACATAGGTTTACATAGGGTATTATACAGTCACAGAAGATTTTTCTTACCATGTCTGCGTATTTCTTGACATTTAGCATTCGTTTCTCTGTGCTGTCTATAGGTACTCTCTTCTTTAGTTTGAAGATACTTCTACTGTCATGGACCCCTACTATAACCTTCAAAATATAGATTGGACACTATTTTAACAACAACTGCTCAGAAAACAAATGCAATATTAAAAGTGCCTTCTAAAGCCAAATATGGAGACTGCAATGAATATAATATTTAATCATTGTTGTTTTGTCTGTACCTACTTATTTACTAATTTGCTTATACTTACTGCCACACCAGAGAAAAACTCAATAAAGCTCGCATTCCATTCCATTTCGTAAGCTAGTACAAAAAAAATCTATATTTCCGAATAATTCACGAATATGGTAAACATGAAAACTCACAAAAGATATCAGGCTTATAATTTTGTATTCCAGAGGCGTATGTCGTCTACAGAAGACTCACCAGTGGCGCTTGTATCCAAACAGAAAGAAGGCCAATCAAATACAAGGTTGTAGAGCATTGAAAAACAAAAATTTATAAATGTTGTGTCAAATCTAATTAAGGCTTTCTATTCCTGCGGGTAGAAACCCTTTTGTGTTTCTAGCATATAATAAACAGAAAATGGCCGTATCAATGATATATCATGTCAACGCCAAAGTGCTGACTACTTGGCTGGTAATACCCTCGGGAACAAAACGTCCACCAGCAGTGACTGTAAAAACTCATCAAATTTATGTATTTATTGCGAATATTAGTTCAATCTATAGAACACTTTGAAAATGGTCAATGCTAACAAATACTAGTAAGCCTTTGTTAACTAGTGCTTGTATGAAATGCGTTTCTTTTAATGTTAACCATTGAATGATTATATGTATAATGAAAAAAATACCGATAATAATTTCCTTGGTTGACTTCTTCATTTATTTAAATTTTACTGACTGAAAGTATACGTTCAAACGTCACAAATCAGTCTGATAAGGAAGAATAAATTGTACGTTTGAATATAAATAAAGGCAACAGTAGTACACCGCTGTTCAATAGTCATAAATCGATTTAACTGAAACAAATCCGGGTCACAAACCAAAACCGAGGGAAACATATCAACTATAAGAGGAAAACAACGGAACAACATAAACACTGACCTGCTACAAAAACAAGCATTGAAACAAACATTGATTGTAAACTTTGATATTGGCAGGAACACTTAAATAATAAAACACATATAAGTATAAAGCCGTTCATTCATTTTAATTAATTGTTAATCAAAACTCTACCTGTTTCCCAAGGGCTTTCATACGTTGCAGCAGAGTGATATGACCATTGTGAAACAAATCAAAACAACCAACAGTATACACTTTATCAACACGTGTATCAAAAGCATTTACTGGAACAGAATTATGTCTCTGTCGTAGTGGCCGGACAGTATCTTCACCTTCATCAAATATGGAATCATCAGTTGAATCATTTTCTTCTGACAATGTGCTGAAAGGAAAACTGTGATGTTTTTATGATACATTGTAAAGGTAAAATAACAAAAATACCGATCTCCAAGGGAAATTCAAAACGGAAAGTCCTTTAAAAATTGGCAAAATCAAAAGCTCAACCACATCAAACGAATGGAAAACAACTGTCATATTTTTGACTTGGTACAGGCATTTTCTTATGTAGAAAATGGTGGATTAAACTTGGTTTTATAGCTAGCTAAACCTCTCACTTGTACGACAGACGCATAGAATTCCATTTTATTGACAACAATGAGTGAGCAAAACAAACAGATATAATAGGTAAAAAATGTCAAAATTTGGGGTACGGCAGTCAACATTGTAATAATCACTATAAAACCAAATAAAAATTTCAACAAAGAAACACACAATTGCATATAGACACTCTACAGACAAAGTACATAAGCAAAAATGAAAGACAAGAATACAAAAATGACCATAGTACAATAATACAAAGGCGGGATGTATAAGTGCCGAGCCACGCAAAAAGTATATTACCAAAATTGGACTAAACAGTAAAGGTTTAAAATGTACAAGGACAAATAAAAAGAACACTATAACACGTACTTAAGATGATCAACAACGTGATAACCTGAGGCAGAGGAAGCCGTGTTTGGTTTTTCTTTAATTTCTAGTTCTGGAGGATATATTAATGGAAACAATCAGACAAGTTTGGATTGTTAATGGAAAGAACATCATCAATATCTGAATGTGAAATTAAATGATCTGACTTCTTTGGTCATCTTTTCTTTGACAAGTGTCTGAGGGAATTCCGACTCATATGAAAATAGGAAGAGGTCGGCAAGGAGAGGCACACAGTTCGTTCCCATAGGAATGTCGACAATTTCTTAAAAAGGTCTACCTCCAAATTCAACAAAAATGTTGTCAATAAGAAACTCCAGCATACTGATCACTTGTTCCTCTGTCTAGCATGTTTTACCTTTTTGTTCACTATATAACAAAACATGCTGTATGGTATTCCAAAGCAATGCTACCATTTTTATATTGAAAAGCATTGTGGATTATTTCTTTTATACGATTTTTCAATTTCACATGGTGAATGGTGGTATACAGGGTTGAAAAATCAAAAGTTTTGATAGAATTAATTTCAAAGGAAGATCTAGATTTAAAATAATCAAGAAGTTCTTTAGAGTTTTTTAGAATACACATATGGTTAATACCACAACGTGAGTAAACAGTTTCACAGTATTTCTGAAGACTCTCTTTCACTGCAGACGGAATTTATGTCAATCTAATGGACAATTCCTTTGTAGAAAATGCAGATCCGCCGGCAATGTGCCGTTGTTTGGACGGAATTTTGTGAAGTTTAAGTATCTAATACAAACAAGGTAAGTCCTCGGATTTGCAGTTCAATGTAATGTTCATTGAAGCCATGAAGGACTTATGATTCGCGAAAATCTCATTCTTGTCAAATGATATGTTTTTACATGTGTGATTACATGAGTGCTCATTTAATCCTAATTCTTTTACAAGACACTCGTAGTAGTACGATTTACATACAAAGAAAATATTATTTGAAGCTTTATGAACAACAACGCATTTATCGTGAAGAGATGATAAACATTTCACAACTTCTTTGTTTCTGAAAACGGACTTTGGTCGATCATTCACACAGTTTTTCAAATTATGAATATGACGTTTTATCAGAGACCTGATTGTTTTGACAAATCTGAAAAAGTGTCCAGTTCAACTTCTTCTCATTTAGTCCATGCTCTGGCGTAGTCCTGAATGGAATCCATAATTATTTTGAAGTTATGGTTCCAATAGATGTGTTCCCTGAACTTAGGTTTAAACATGGTTTATAATAAGTGACTTTCGGGTTTTTATCGCACATATGCATGCACCGTTCTATGTGGTTTGTCTTACTGAATCCATGTTAAATTTGTTACAATATTAAAAAAAATCAAGTCGGTTGATAGCGTTGTGCCTTGATTAAATATTATTACTAGAAACTATGGGAATTACCTGTTTGATTTTTCAATACTTTCAGCCAAGAATTTAGATGCATTTGATTCACTGTAGCATTTTCTTAATTTCTGAAAATTAAATACATATTTGTGAATCACAGGCTAAAAATCTTTTTAAAAAACAGTCTGTGTAAAGCAGTCTTTTAATTCGTCTTTTACTAGACACGTCCAAATAAAGGCTATGAATTAAAGAATAGATATCAACAGCAGTCAAATGAATACTGTTTAACCATTGTTTGGCCTCTAATTTGAAAAGTTCTTACAAGTATATTTCTTGGGTTTTGACACAAGTGGGTTTTGACTGCTTAATACAAATGTATGATATCATTTAAATGTGCGCAATGTGTGTTTCTTGGTACTGCATCTGAAACGCTTGAGACCTAGAGTTAAGAAAGTCTAATATAATGAGAGCGTTAAATGCAAATCAACAGCAAAAACCGTATAATGTCAACTTTGAACTAAAGCAAATATGAGGTATATGGCAGATTTTTTTAGATTTTTTTCAAAGCTTAAATTATTCATTATTTTTAGTCTCAAACTTTTATATCCATTATCAGCTAAACAATTTTTTTTTGTATCTTTGAAAGATGATATCATCTTAAAATCCAATCGAAAAAAAAAACCAAAGGGTGACCTCTGTTGCTCCGGAAAGGATCTGCTCCACATGTTTCGTCCGTCGCGTGTTGCTCATGGTAATTACAGATTTAGTGCTGCCGCATTCGGTGATATCACAATAGAGGGAAGATAACGGCATTGTGGCCACGACAATACGGTCAACCAAATCACGATGGCATCAACTTTAACAGTCAGAAACTTTGATTCAATAGTTCCTTGTACGTAGCAACCCTCTATAAAGGAAATCATGAAAGGAATTGCAAGCTCTGGAATATCGTATCAACCAACTGGGGGATATTTAGTTCATTTACAAGCGCTGCTTGAATATTTCTACATAGAAATGCACGTTAAGAGTACAATTGGAAAGTTGAAATCATCTTCATTGTCTTAAAGTTTTATTTTCAAACTACTCTTGTTGTTAATTTCTTAATGTAAGCAAATACATGAGACCGACTACGTATACACACATGGGACGAAACATTACAGACTGGTTGATGTCAATTGACGACTAGAGATCATATATGATTTGTATAACGTAATTTAAAAATACAGAATAGCATAAAATAAAAACGTATCTTAATTGCGATTGTCTTATAATAATACCAAGATACTACTATTCAATAGAAAAATAAAATGAAAAATGGTGTAAGATTTAATATCTAATATCACAGACTAATTACATCTTACCGATATACTACCAAGCTATCAAACTTCTGGTTTAAGCTCTGCATTGGTGATTTGGCTCTGAAAATATTACTTAAGACAAATTCTAATGGGATTAAGCAGTATTTATTCAGTTTTGTGCATTATTGTGATAAAATGGAAAAATATGTGCAAGGGATGTGTGTTTTGCAAAAGAACTAAAGAAAGTCACTAGCTTTTAGTCAATGATAGCAGATGAAATGAGCGCGATTAATGTCTGTCGTTTCATTTGAAATCGTCTCTTGATTATCACAAAACAATCGCATGCTCTTCTGATAAAATCACACTGTCATCTTAAACGTCTTTACAATTCAAAACGAATGCAATGAACAGTTATAGCCGCGTCTCTACGTCTACCAGTTAGTATTCTGAGTAGGTTCATCCTCGTTTCCACTTATAAGATGTTGTTGGTTGCAAATTTTTGCTTTATTAGTTGAATCTGTTTATATGTAGTCTATGGTAACAATACAGCAACTGATACACGTATCACAGTATACAAGAAATGTTATTGGTTAATTGTTCCGAATCCAATAATCTTCTATTAGGCGTCCATCATTCAAGTCGAAATTCTGATTATTGAAGTTACCGGCAAATGCAATCAAATACCAGTCACCAGTGTATCGTTTGAATTGTCCATTATTTCATCATCACTCCAAGTAATCAGAATTTCTAACTATTACTTTCTCATATCTTTTGCAAAACACGTCATGTTTTATTTTGGCTTGAAAGGCAGGAAATAGTGTCAGTTTACACAGCTTTGTTTACCTTTGGTATCTTTTCTGTGTAGGTTGCCTTTTCGCCGTCTTCTTTGGTTTCTGGAATTTCATCAAAGTCTACTTCATCTCGTCTTCTTTGTTCACGTGCTTTCAACTTATGTTGCAAACTGGCGTATGCCAATCTTACAGACATGATCAGGCATGCGATTCCAGTTATTCCAGCTAAAATATATAATCAATCGACACAATGGAAAAGGAATTAATGATAGTACAAAAACACTCACCAGATAATATATATGTGCCAACTACTGCATTGATAAAAAGCCTGCATGGTCAGTCGGAAGAACTGAGAACCAGAATGATAAGTCCGCTTATATATCCGTTTATTAATCATTTAACTATTTTAAAATGGAAAGTTTTCATTCAAATTTTAAAGTCCTTATCCGTCCGATTATGAAATGTGTATATAAGGTTCAAGATACCTCCTGCCAACTCACCACATGAAAGGATATACATAAAATAAACATATGCAAAGGACAATACACACACACACGCACATACACACACAAAACAGACAAATCTAAAGCTGGCCAACAAAAACAAACATATCCGATGCACTAACACAAGAAGCTTTTGCCAATACGAACGCCCATCATAACTAATAGTTAAACCATGTGTTGCTTTGCATGAAACATTCGTCTTGTTTCCCACTGGTGAAATCCGGAAACGATTGAAATAAGTCACGGTTATCGGCGCAGGGAAGTGAAACAAAAAGGGAAATATATCTGTAATCAATTGTACTACGCTTATTATCATTCTGTATGGTGATTGCCTAACTTTTGGAGTGAATATATCATCAGCTTAGTATAACGTGAATGTTCGTGTGATAATGACTATGCTGTCCTATTGAAGTATCGGTAGTGGACACTAGCTCGAATGCAACATAATAAATTTTATGTGTATACACTATAGACAGGTTAAACAGTTATATTGATTATACGAAAAGTAAAATTTACTATAAGGATATAAGTCAACAAATGTGTCGTAAAGTTTTGAGTTCATTGTATTCTATTAACAGGTTTAGTTCCGGGTATGAATAAGGCCCATCAAATGTATCGTAAAGTTTTGTGTTCTTTTTAATCTATTAACAGGTTTAATTTCGGGTATGAATTAAGGCCCTCTGTTTTTTGCTGTGTCATTGATATATACAACATTGGAATAGTTTTAATGTAAATAATCTAATTAAAACACTTACCGTTATTTTTTTAAAGCTAACAACCTCTGTTCTGCAGCTGAAAAGCCAATGGCATCTTTTCGAATAAAATGTAAGCGAGGTACCTTATTAGTTTCCATGATGAACCCAAATAATAATTTAATTACTACGAGTACATTGAAGATCTTAATGGTTTTTTTTAGAAAATTAAAAAGTAAAACGAAATGTCTACATACACCATGAAGTAATAGGTATAGGAGAAGCTTCAGCCAAACATAGGAATGCAATGCCCATTGATTCTAATTTTTCTTTTAATTTTCCTTCCATGACAGCAGCTGTGTCCGCTTTACTTATTAAAGCGTCGTTTTTTCTGAGCAGCCTGTATAATGTAAGAATGATTTATAATGGGATATCTGTCAATGAAACAGCAATCTAACAATATAAAGCATGTATAAATACATTTCTTGGGGATTACTGACTTACTGATTACAACATTTGTAGGTTTTGTAGCATACAACTAAAGGAAGCAAATAGCAGACAGCAACAAACGATAACAACTGGATTTCAGGTTCCTGGCTAGGGACAGACACAAAAAGAATAATGTGGGGTTTATTGTACGCAAGGTATAGGGGAAATATTCCCTTGGCACTAGAGTATAATGCTGTCAGATAAGTCTAATCCTCTTGATGAGTCATCATAATAATATGATAGGAAGCAAAATGTGAAATAATTCATTGTTTTTGGATCGTAAGAAGGTAACGAATGTCGTTTACAGAGCAATTTATACCTCCCATGCAATCATTAACAAATTTCGAATGTAATACTTTCGTTATACCTGAGATAGTAGGAGCGGAAGTAGTCTTGTACTCTGACAACACCGAGAACAAATTCAAATCCTATAATAACGGAACAAGATGTGATGTAAATGTTCGTCTGTTTCCAGGTCATCTGGGTAAAATCGGTGGTCAATAGGATTGACCATAGGGCAAAAACATTCACTAGCTGAAAGAGAAATTAATCATAACAGATATTTTAAAGTTGATACTAAGCAAATCGCACCAAAAACTAAACAATGAGATACATGAATATTAAGGTCAGTTAAGAAATCATCAACAGTATACATAAATTTCTAATTGATACATATGTAATTACATTTTTCGATAGCTAATTATTGAATTTGTTAAAATGCACATCTAATGGTGACGTTTTTCTTATATGAAGGTGCTCTTTATATCTTCACCGATTACATTCAAACCTTACAACACATACAGTCGAATTAGTTGATTTTACGGTCATATAGTGTGAAATGGTTATGCCAGTTGCGTCAATGGATTGAGATGAGGTCGTTTACTTAGTTTCGAAATTTGGTTGTTTTATTGAGTTGCTTTCGAAGACTTAATGCTAAAGTGACATCTGGTTTTAGTAAAAAAAAAAGAACAATGGCGTCCACGAACACAGTTTTATAAGCAGCGGAGTAATCTATATGTTCTATGTATTATACCTTGTCACAGAAAGCATCCATGAATCCGCCAAGCAGAGGATCGTCTACAGAGCCATATATTTGTTTTTGAGCTTTTGCAACGATGCCGTCAAGATGGTCAAGAAAATCGTGAAATACCACAAGGAAAAATGCCGTCCAGTAATACTGGTTTCTGTAAATAATAAAACGAATTTGTCTTTCAAAAACATAGTGAAAAGGTAAAAATGAATAAAGATAATGTTGTGAGATTACTGCAGTAAAATGTATATCATCGCGTCTAGTTCAGTATCATTGTAATAGTTTTGTGATATATGGATATTAAACAGCTCCTATAGTGACACTGTTGTTGCTATATTGATAACAATTAAAAGAATCGATTTTCAATAAAAAAAAAATAATCTAAAAAGCATTTGAAATCATTACGAAGTTTGTCCTCTTATAAGTTCACATCCGTTTTTGTTGGGGTTTGTGCTGCTCGATCTTTAGTTTTCTGTGAAGTGTACATTGTTTTGTTTTGTTTTGTTTTTTTGTTTTTTTGTTTTTTTTTCGTTTGGCCGTTTTTTTTTTTTTTTAATTTTTTTTATTTTGACAATGACGTTAATACTCTTCAGTTTAAGTCAGAAATTTGTAATATCCAGTAGTGAGACAAATCCGGAGGGTTCAATGAAGAATCCAGCTCTAAGGGTTATTAAATGTGTATTAGAGTTTCAAAGTTGTGAACTCTGTAAATCAAAGGCTTACTTAAGACAGCATGCTATAGGAATAACTAGAGCAGTCCTGGTCCATGAAACAATATTTGCTGAAAATATGGTATATTCTAGCCCTCTTATACTTAGGAACCGTGGTATACGGGATACAATAGGTAGCAATAGTGTCTGTAAAGGTGAGTACACATACTTGTCATACCAGTCAATCTGAAACGACGTAAATAATGTTATAAATATATATTACTTGACATATGCAACACGAGGCTCCAAATAACGGACAGAAGAAAGAAAGCTATAACAAACATTGTATTATTTCATTAAAGCTATTGTGTGTATACCTGTATCCGTGTTTATCAAATTAAGCGCATATTCAATTGTATGTTTTATTGTATTTAATATAATTGACAGCAAATGTTTGTATACGGTTGGTAGTGACAATTATCTAAAGCTTGGATGGTCAGACGCTCGAAAGGCTCGATTGTTTTCTTAATAAAAATCTCAAGAAAAGGCCATTAGAATTAAGAATAAAGTTAAAGTCTTTGATATAAATTTCGAAATAGGAAAAGATATAATTGTGATATGTCAGAAAATGTTATGTGATACCGTGTTATAACTTCTTTAACTCATCAGAACTAAATGTTTCTATATCTAGGCCGGGAGTTACTCTATGCATTAATAAACTTTCCCTGTAGTAAGCACCTCTTGTGTGTAGAAAAACAAATAATATTAAAAGTTTACCATGACGAAAAGTAGAGATTCAACTATCCTGGAACAGAATCCAAGCACAGCTAATATTACACGGGTCAACGCCATCACTAGAATAAAATGAAACATACTATTTCTATATTTAGATATATTGGTAATTTAAGCGCTGTTTTATATTTCCCTTTTGTTTTTCTTCATCTTGGAAAATATGTCATTTTTTCAGTAAAACCGTATTCCTAATCGGTTTATATCGACACGCGATCAAATTGTCAATGCATTTACTCGAGACCAGCACTCATTAAATATCTTAAACATTGGAATACTGAATCGACTGAAAGAGTACCTAGATTCATACAACATTTGCCTTACCTAGGCCTGGTACTAGGTATTAGTCCCAGTCATGGTAATATTGTAGATCGTGGGTACATCTCAAATCTGCAATTAGTTGGCATGGAACTGTTCAATTTTTATGAGATATTATTGTTTAAACTTAAAAAAATGTAAAGTTTGATTTTAAAAATTTAATAAAAAAAACTTTACGAATTAAATAACGCCAAAACTTTTTCTATTTTACGCCAACTTATGATTATTCAAGAAAATATGATCCTTAGAGTTGCTGGCATATTAAAATTGGTCTTACCTTTCGCAGACAACCCGCTTGAGTGGGTGTACTTTTGTGATTTTATATCAAACAGATTGTCAAACAAATTCTATATTTGTTTCAGATATATAAAACTTGAAACAGATAATCAAAATAAAATTGACATACCATAACATGTGCATACATATTTTAAATTCAGAAATAAGTAAAAACATATCGCTTATTCCTTAACGAAAATACAGCTAAATTAAAGTTCATTACTTTGATGTCGTAAACGCAAATCTTATCATAAAAGTTTGATGATGAGGGATGGCTGGTCAACGTTCATTGGCAAATGAAATGAATATTCAGGTCAATAACATGCGAATGCGAAATTAATATGAACCCTACGTTATACTAGACCGACACCTATAGTTGTTTCATTGACATTCATGCCACATCTCCTTAATTTATGTATTTCACACGGCAACATTCCGCAGAAAGACCTGGACACGGACTCCGAGCCTACCAATATTTGCCTTTACTGATTAATTCAGCGTGTTTGGCGGAGATGAAGCAAATACCAATTTTGAAGTTTCGATATGACCAGCCTTGAGATCGAGGCGAATCAACAACTTCTTTTACACGAGGCGAAAACGTTACAATGAAACCAACGATGCGATTGAAAAACAACAGAAAATTACGGTCTTCAACAATAAACAAGTGTCTATGCAAAATGCCAAGTTCTTAATCGTTATAAATAAAATCAACAGAGATCATACAAGATCTGCCATCAACAGAATCATGTTTCCAGGCCTAAAAAAATCAATTATGAAATTAAAGAGACAACCGTTTGTGAGGTTCTTGACTTCGGACAGACCCAAAACTGTTCAGAGGACAAAAAAACACAAATATGAAATAAAGAAAGACAAGCATTGGTAAGTAGCTTAAGGGCAAAAACACAACGATGAAATTAAAAACAACAATTGGCTAGGTGCTGACTTCGGATAGACATAAAACTGTTTAAATAACAAAAACAAACAAAAAAAGATGAAATTAAAGACAACTGGAGAGGTTCCTGACTTCGGATAGACACAAAACTGTTTTCAGGACAAAAAGAGAGGATCCTGAATTGACAAAACACTGATTTAAAGATTACAACGCAAAGATGAAATTAAAAACAATCATTGGTGAGGTTCCTGACTTCGAACGGACACAAAACTGTTTTCAGGACAAAAAAGTTTTTTAAGCGGTGAGCGGTTCCTGGCTTCGAACATGACACAAAACTGTTTTTGGACAAAAAAAAACATAAAGATGGAAATAAAGACAGCCACAATATGACGAGGTTTCTGACTTCAGACAAATACCTTATCATGTGGAGGAGTTACCAATTTTTTAGCACTCAACGCTCCGCCTTATTTCACTCGGTAAAATCAAAAAATAAACATTCGTATGTTCAGTAAAATAAATTCAAAAAACCTAACCTCGTTCTTTCAATCATGTATTTGTTAAAAAAATACTTAGGATATCAAAATTTTAGGCGCCGAATGCAACAACCCTTCATGAATAAAATCTTCGTCATTTCATCTCTGTGTAGAGGGTAGTTGTCTCATTGGCAATCACCCCGTCGGTCCAAGTCTCCTTATTTTATATTAATTGAAACTCACTATTATAATAAACAATATGGAATTCAGTACCCTTGGTATTTAGCAGGTATAAGTTATAAAAGTTCCAATATCAACAATAAGGTACTCACCAAAATATTATTTTTCAATTCGAAAAATGTGATCCAAATGTGCCACTCGGTGATGTATTATTAGTAAACAGATTTGTCTTACGCTGTTTAGATCACAGGTCTACTAATCGTATTTATCTATTTAAGTTTATTTACTGATATTGGTGATAAGAGGAGTGGATGAATGAATTAAAATGATAATTTGTCTTATCTACATTAAAATTAGATAAAGAACGGACAAAATGAATTTTCTCTTGATAAATTTATTCTTAGAATGGACTTTCTTTGGGTTTTTTTAAACAGATTTCAGTATTTTATTTTTTTCTAAGAATTAATTTATAAATTTTATTATTTATAATCAAGAGGTTATTTAGCGCTTCGCGTTGCTATTGAATAAAATTGTGATCAATTGTAATACCACATTGCAAATTTTACAATTGTATGTACAATTTCGCTACGAAAGATATCTTTAACCAGAATGAATTATTTTTACAATGTTTCTACACCTTAGGCTAATCATAATCATGACACCGTGTGAGCTACCACAAATCAAATTAGGAATGTTCATAAGAACTTTAAAGACAAAAAAAATAAGGCAGCAAAATTAGACTGATAAAAGTTGATTTTTTTTTAGAATATTTCATGGATAATCACGAGGAAAACCAATAAAACAATGCTCTAAAAAGTTTGGCCGACCGGAATGAAGGGCGGGAATAATAAAGCCACGTGAAAATGAAGATAGAAGCAGAAAATTTGACTTGCAACAGGCCACCTCAGAGAAGTCAAATTGAAGTGAGGCCTTCAGCAACGAGCTAAAGCTAAATAAAACTCACTACAAATTCAAGATGGCCTCTAGCACCGGTTTGAGCAGAATAAGCGCCTCATTTATCTAATCATAGTGAACTAAGTGAATTATATATTTTAAACCCTTTTGTCAATATCATATGTTCGAAAAGGTCATCGTGATAACTTAATTTGTTATGTTAATACGTAAAAAAAAAACATAATAGATAAAAACAACTACTAGTATTTTCCAACTAAGAATATCAATCGAAAAAGTTCCATTTACCCAGTAGCCAGTGCTTCCTGTTTGGAAATTTTCAGTTCCGAAATTATGTATAAAGTTGCGCACATGCAAACTAAATCTCAGGCGGTTTTGGATGTTCTGTTGATGTTCTTCACATTTTAATGCTCACTGTGCATTTGCATTGTGTGACTATCCAAACTTTAAGCCTCAAGCGTACTTTGTTAAGGATATCATAGTAACGAGTGTACGGAATTCAGTATTGTTTGTTTTAATCGTGATAATGTCAGTTCGTATAAATACGAAATTATTATTTCATTCATGATGGATAAATCTTCTGCCAACACGTATACAGGTGTTGAAGGGCGTTACTCAATTTTCTATATTAAAATTGTCCTGACAGATGCTTCCTGTCTACTATGGTTCTTGCTAATAATGGGTTTTTCTTTTTGTCGATGTTACACTGAATAGTCTGATTAGATTTTGAGTTTTTTGTTTCCAGTCGTTCAACAATGTTTGTGCTTATAGCATTTTTTTGCCTTAATCTGTCTCTTTTTACTCCTGGCTGGTGAGATGAAGCTACCAGTTCCTCAACTACTTTGTAAAACATGACAATTCGTTGTTTCTTTCTTTTTTGTTGGTGGTTTAATTTCACTTCCGAGAGGATGATCGTCACGGATGCATCCTGATCTCGAGATTAGTTATCATATTTGTTAAATATGCAGCACGCTTTTGAATGCCTCATTATTTTCTCAATATGTCTTTGAGTGTGTACGGATCCCATAGTTTAGTTCCGTATTACAAAACTGGTCTAATCATGGACATGGAAGTCTGGTTTTGTATTTTTGATGGCATTTGCCCAAGTGTTTTCTAATGAAACATAAAATTTACTTTTACTTTTTTTGTTAATGTGGCTGCTCCGAGATGTTTAGTCGCAAATACGGGTTTGTTTTTACTTGTTCTAAAATATGATTTCTAATTAGTTGAAATTGCTCGACTTCTATTTATGCCCATTAAATAGCATTGAATTTCATGCAATATTGTTTGCCCAGATTTCTAGTTTATCTAAGTCTTCATGTATAATGGTGTCCGTCTTTTGTGGACATTATTTGTCGATACAGTTGACAAACATCTGCAAATAACCGTGCTTTGATGCAGTCAAGAAGATCATTTACATGGCATGAAAATATCATTGGTCAGGCAGTACTCTGTCGAAACCATTTAGAAAAATTATCCAAAATCCAATATTGCCATATCAGTTTTGATGTGTGTGTTTTTTTTTATGATGTTGGTTAGTGAGATCTTAATTTATTCCGTAGTAACCAGTAGCTGAATTGTAAGCAGTATCAGGAATGGAAGCAGTGGCTAAGCTTTGTGAATATTTTATATATTCTCAGATCTTTTAGCATGTGCTTGCAAATCATGTGCACCGATATTTTGCACAATACACAAGGGATACCAGTCTGCTGTTTTCACCTACATGGATATCTCCATTTTTTATGAATAAGGGAACCAGTCTGTGGGTAGAGTGCCAATATTTACTGAAACTTGGAATATCTTGGCTATGTAACTTCAATGTAACAGTGAGGTAAAATTTCTGTTACACAGTGAGTGGTATAGAGCTAGTCATAAAAAATGTATTACAATTCCTGGGTGGTGATGAAAATTGCATCTGTGTAAAATGTATATAAAGGTGGGCAGTAAGGATTAACTTGTACATTAGGATTAAAATACTTAAAGAAAAAGATTATAATGAAAATTAACATGCAAAGTGTGATTAGGATAATAACCCATTAAAGGTTATAATGATAGAAACTGTAAACATGGTAAACAGCAAAAATGATTACCAAAATCAGATCTACAAATAAGTTAACATGACTGAAATTGTCAATCCACTTCTAGTAGGTAAAGAAATGTCAATGTGACCAAAATTGGGTTTTTTTTTCTTTGTCAATTAGCTTGTAGTAGACTAGATAAAGAGATTGCCCTTAGTTAACAATCTTTAAATATTTTCCATGTTTTTTGGCTATTATCTTGAGAACTATGATAGAGAGAAACTGTTACAGTGTACCAAAATGATCAGCAATATAAGAGATATATACTAGTATAGGTGAACACAACTTAATTTGAAGTTCAACATCTTATAGGAGTTACAATCTCAAATAATAATTTTTGACAATATTTTTGTTTTTGTAATCATCTTGAATAAGATGCTCCGCGGGGTACAGCTTGATACAACCGCAGAACCCTGAACCTGCAAATCTTAATAAGTTATATAATTTTTTTCTGTGGATCTAGAGCACAATGGTTAAAAAAGTAAATACTTTCTGAGCAAGCTTTTTTTTGGCATAACTTCAGATATTTGACTATAATTTGCTTACCCAGTGATATCCTGCTAATTCCAGCTTAAAACCACAGTGTAGTGGAATTTGATGCAACTGTCATACAAGTGAGCGCTATAAAACCAGGTTCAATCCACCATTTTCTACATAAGAAAATGCCTGTACCAAGTCAGGAATATGACAGTTGTTGTCCATTCGTTTGATGTGTTTGTGCTTTTGATTTAGCCATTTGATTAGGGACTTTCCGTTTTGAATTTTCCTCGGAGTTCAGTATTTTTGTGATTTAACTTTTTTTCAACAAAATGCCTGAGGTTATATTTATAAATTGTTTGTCATGATTTGTGGATGTGTTTTTAAATAGACAGTAGTTAGTTTTCTCGTTTGAATTGTTTATTTTTTATATTGAGGCCTTTTATAGATTATATGGTATGGGTTTTTCTCATTGTTGAAGGCTATAATTGCCTATAATTGCTTATATCCAATTCATTTAAACTCTGGTGGAAAGTTGTCTCATTGTCAATCATACCACATCTCCTTATTCTTATAATGAGCATTTCTATGGGAACCAACCATGATACTAGCTCCTCAACGACTTGTTCCTGGACTGTCCTCTCCCCTTCATAAATTATGATGTTTTTACAAATAATAAGCAACATTATGGGTGGGCCTATTGAAGCAGGAACTAACCATTCCAGAGCACCAGAGCAATCTCATTGACATAGAGCTACATCTCTTTTTCAATCAATTGTTCATATCAATAGCAGGATTAAATGACATCCATCAAGTTATCTGTACTGTATTCTGTTATTATGTACTGTAAATTGCTAGTGGATCCTGGCTATATGTAATTTTTTGTTAGGACGGGTGCCAGTGTATAGTAATATCTGGCTTATGGGGATACATAGTGCAGTATAGTTTCTAGTTGCATATGTAAGTCTTCAAATGCCTAATTCATTCAACTAGTCCCATGAAATACATCTGTTTTATTGTTCATCAAATGTTCTTTCATATATATAACAGTATAAAATACATCATTTCATTATATAACATACCGTAATTCATTTTTCAAAAATAAACATTCATATATCAAACATAAGATAACAAGTTACAAATACTATTTGCTACGAAATAAAATTTCTGCAAACAAACTTCCCTCAATTAATGAAGCTAGTGTTTTATCTTCAAGCTTTTTCTGTCTAATGTTAAACAGTCTCAATCAACAATTTGTAATGTCCTAAATTCATTCCTCAATGTACATGTCCTTCATGTTGCTGGTTGGAGAACTTTTTAATTCTTTTAGGTATGACACTACCTGAATTCTCACCATCTATGGTAGCAATGTCTATCATCAGAATGGTAGGACAAACATATGCCTCCTAGCAATGTCTATTACTAGTATTTGACAGGATAGGTCTCCTAACATAGCTCCTCTTTTGTGATTATTTCTCTTTTCAGCCTACAATCAATTAATATATGAAAACATTTCATTAAATCATCCCTCACACATTAAAAAAAAACATGTGTATACCATTGCATGATCTAGATGATACTGATATGCCCTTTTGGCACATGGTAAATACAGCAGAAGGATTGTAACATGGAATCATCATAATGTATGGGATACCAATTTTCGTGGATTTCGTTGGTAAATGTGAACCAGGAACTTAAATGTTCAATAAAGTACAAATTTGCTATAGGCTTGTATGCAGTCTTCTGCGCAACCACGAAATCAAATATCCACGAATTTCTTTTTTTTTTTTCAATCCACAAAAATTGGTAACAAAGGAAAAAATGAATCCACAGTATGCCTGACCTATGACATCTTGATTAAATATCTCGTGAACTGTTTGTAATTGAAAAATATAAGCAAAAATGAATATACATTGAGAGTAAAGAAGAATGCATTTGTCGTGGTGCTAGGAATACCCCACTCATATTTCCAAGTATTGGCAAACAAGGAGGTAGATTTCTGGCAACTCAGTGTTCGCCCATTCCAACTCATCACTGTCAAACTGTTGACCAAATGTGAAATCATTTCGTTCCAAAGTACTGGAAAAATGTGATACAATTTCTTTTAGCCCATTCAACATATTGAAAGTTTCAAAGAATCAGTTACAGTAAGAAGGTGTCTGACAAATTCAAAAAGTGCTTTCCAATAAAAACCGATCACTTCCTTACTCCTGACCAAATATGAAATCATTCTGTTGAGGAGTACTGAAGAAAAGTGTGATGAGGATTGTTTTATTATTTCGACAATTTGAAAAATTCAAAGTATCATTTAACAGGAAGAAAGTATTTGAGAGATCAGAAAACATATTACAACTCATCACTGTCAAGCTGATAAACTAATAAGAAAGTTGTTCTGTTCAGTTGAAGCTGGGAAAAGTGTGACAGAAATGTTTTTTGGAAGAGTGGACCAATGGACAGATGGAAGGACAGCAAAGGTGAATGCAATATCGCCCATCTTCTAGAGTTGGGATATAATATAAATTATGAAATTACCTGTTAACTTCTTCCTCCAAGGATTCCCTGGCTTCCTGTCTGGTTAACTCACATATTTCTGACATAGAGTACTATAATAAAATGAAAGTAAAAATAATAAGTCACAAACTATTTGGTGAATGATCACAAGCTCATAAATTAACACATAAATGAAACTTATGCATACTGTGGTAGTATTTATATTCGTGTAACTTACCTTTCTGGTTTCTGAAAAGAAATTTCTTCTTAAGTTCTTGACATGTTAAGAGTATTTAATGAAGATTTATATTTCATTAGGGCAGGAACATGAAAATACGTACTCAAAAGAACAATAATTTCAAGGTTAAGTACTTACATTGTCATAATGAAAATGTTTTTCTAGCAACTTGAGAAAAAATTCCAGGGCTGTATAAACTCAAATCATTATCCACAATAACATTGAAAATCAAACATATTTGTTTCATATTTTTCATGTCGGGACCTTTTATAGCCGACCATACGGTATGGGTTTTTTCTCATTGTTGAAGGCCATACAGTTGCCTATGATTGCTTACATCCACTTCATTTGGACTTTGGTGGATAGTTTTCTCATTGGCAATCATACCACATCTCCTTTTTATATAACCTGCATTCTATGATACATTGTAATGTTGTAAAGTATCAAAACTCTAGTGCAAAGCAAACAAGTTATCATACACTAATAATTTATACCATTTTGAGACATATCAAGGGGTATAACTCAGCAAAGTGAAAGTCACATTAAATGACCTGCATTTCATTGTTAGTAATACTGTAAAAAAGTAACGCGTTATCATCTGGCTACTTTAAAAAAAAAAATATTTGAGATAATTCAAGGGATATGTCCCAAGAACAGTTAATGCAAATGCAGAGAAAATCTACTAAACATGCATTTCATGGTAGGTAGTAATATTGACAAGGTATGAGATTCTTCTTCAAAGTACATGTATCAGTTTAAAGGTAATTTTTCCTCACATAGCTTTTGTTTTTGATGGACACAAAAAAAAGTAGCCATTATATGTTCACGTCATCAAAGCGTATATTTATATCTTTATCTGTCAATTCAAAACCAATACTTTCAGATGATAACTTTTTAAAGTTCACTGGAGCCCTTAAATTCGTTACTAAAAATCATACCATGTATCTTTTTATTTATTTCACATTTAAAGAAATCTTAGATATATGGCAATTTATATAGTTAACAAACATTATTTTTTATTGGAATTTGTAACTTTAGAAGTTTATTTCATTTTATCCTAAGTATTGGAGTATAATGTTAAAAGTAGCAATACAAATCATTATTGAGTGAAAATTAGCATGGGTACTCTCATATGGGGAATGTTTGGATGCACCTTTGTCAGATCTACCAGCAGAACAAACTTTTGTAGGAAACCTTCAATTACATTTATTTGTTTTTGAAAACTGTTGTTGATATAGATTCTAGTCATTGTGGCATACCAGGAAATCAAAGGAATAGCATATATTACCAATTCTTTATCTACACTAAGTTTTACCAATGGCCAAGTAATGTGAGCCCTGTCTTACCTTTATTAAGCCTTGCCCTAGTGGCCCAGTTACATGAGCCCAGTCTTACCTTAACTAAGCTTGCCTGTCTTCTGAAGTAGACTGAACCTTCCTCATCTTCATGCAGTGGATGGAGATTTATCAGTGATCCACATCCACTGTCTTGATTCCGTGGATCTTTACTGTTCCATGGTAAGATGTCTATCTCAATTACATAATCTTGTGTCATTACACCCTGCGTAATGAATTAATCACTTTTTTACATTCATTTTAAAAAGCATGTTAAATGATTATTTATAGACTCAATAGTGAAGTTGTATAGGTAGTAGGTCAACATTTTCTTATGAGCTTGTCTCAATCAAAAGATGTTCTAGGTTTGATCCCTAGATGACTCAAACAAAAAACTTCAGAATTTCTATTTGCCTCTTCCCCTCTAAAGACACACATTTGGGAGAAGATCAAATATAAACCACAAAACAGCACATTTATAATCCATCCATGTCCAGTGTACAATGTTAAAACAACATTGTTGACATCATGATATTTATAATGTTAACGCGATATCGTGTCAACATCATTTACATTGTATGAACTCTTATATATTGTTTACATAGTTGACATCGTTAACATCGCGATGTATACAATGTTGTAAAGATTATCGTGTTTACATCGTTTACATTGCGATATCAACCGTGTTAACACTATGTTGTGTCAACATCGTTTACATTGTAACAGCTGTTTATACTGTTTACATCGTATACATCGCAATGTGTACGATGTTGTAACGATGTAATGTTTACATCGTTTACATTGCGTTATTAACAATGTTAACAAGATATATTGTCAACATTGTTTACATTGTAACAACTCTTATATACTGTTTACATCGTTGACATCGTTAACATCGCGATGTATACAATGTATTATCAATATCCTGTTTACATCGTTTGCATTGTAGTGTGCACGGTATGGTGTCAACATTATTTATAATGTTTGAAATGTAATAAAACGATTGCATATTCAATGGCTTATATCTCGAAAACAAGGACAAGGACCCCTCATTTTTATGTGTTTTTTTAGTTCCGTTATTCATATACTATTTATTTATAACAGTCTTTTAAAAAGCTTGTTATTTTGAAACAGAGTAGCGAACATCCTTAAGCTATGCAGAACATTTAAAGAATGTAAGAGGCTCTCAGAGGGAAAATAATGGCGTGTATCCGTCAATAAATTTTTTTTGTGGCTGCATTTGTGTTCATTCTTAATATTGAAATGTAAGTTGTATTTGATGATAATAATAACATATATAAAGGTTGAGGATGAACACGGATGCGGCCACTTTCATTTTTGACAAAAACCATCTGAAAAGTGACATTTTTGGCATATTTGATATATTTTTTATATTTAAGCTTGAATCGGAGCGTTTTTAATGACTAAATCAGTTAAAATCTTTCACATAAACTAATAGAATCAACTGAAATAGACACTTTAGTGTTCAAAAAGTGTCCAAAATCCTTCGTTATATGAACCTGAAATTTGAGGCCAAAATCGGCCCTTACCGGACCTACTCCTTATTGCATATATGATAGAATTATTTCACAGCAAATTATAGAATCATTTACATATGCGGAAAATATCAAGTTGTTCTTTTTCAGTATTTGTTGTTGTTAAAAAAAAAATACATAGAAAATACAAAATTTCAAGAAATCTAAAAACATCATTAAAAAATATCAATGAAGAAAAAAAAAATTGAGATGATGGAAAACTTGTATTTAAAAGAATTACACAAAATATTAAGAAATATTAAACATGTACTGAATATATATACTGTGTGGTGAATGTTAAACAAATACCTGATATTGATAAAAAAAATAGGCAAGGATAATCAGTAATATATGTGTAACTCGAGTTTCAGACAGGGTATATAATGTGACATTCCCGGCTTAGGGTTTATATGTTGTGAACGATGTAAACAGAAAGTTATAGATTTCATGTACAACATAAACACGATGTTGACACGATATTGTCAACATCACGATGTATACGATGTGAACGATGTAAACACAAAGGTATAGACTTAGTATACAATATAAACACGACATTGACACGATATTGTTAACATTGCAATGTATACGATGTGAACATTGTAAACACAAAGGTATAGACTCTATATACATTATAAACACGATGTTGACACGATATTGTTAACATTGCGATGTATACGGTGTGAACGATGTAAATAGAAAGGTATAGACTCTATATACAACATAAACATGAAGTTGGTGTGATATTGTTAACATTGCGATGTATACGGTGTGAACGATGTAAACAGAAAGGTATATACTCTATATACAACATAAACATGATGTTGGTACGATATTGTTAACATTGCGATGTATACGATGTGAATGATGTAAACACAAAGGTATAGACTTGTTACACAACATTAATACGATGTTAACGATGTGAACGATGTAAACACGATATTGTCAACTTCACGATGTATACGATGTGAACAATGTAAACAGAAAGGTATAGACTCTATATACAACATAAACACGACATTGACACAATATTGTCAACATCACGATGTATACGATGTGAACGATGTAAACACAAAAGTATAGACTTGGTACACACTATAAATACGATGTTGACGATGTGAACGATGTAAACACGATATTGTCAACATCACAATGTATACGATGAGAACGATGAAAACACAAAAGTATAGACTCGATATACAATATAAACACGATGTTGTCACGATATTGTTAACATTGCGATGTATACGATGTGAACGATGTAAACAGAAAAGTATACACTCTATATATACAACATAAACACGATGTTGAAACGATATTGTCCACATCACGATGTATACGATGTGAACGATGTTAACAGAACATATATATATATATAGATAGGATACAATGTAAACACAATAATGACATGATAAAGTAGACATTGCGATGTTGACAATATCGACAAAACATCGTGCACTGGACATACTTCTTATAATCAGTCTCAACATATCAATAGATTACCAACCATTAACTTGTTACTATCCTGAATACTCATGCAATATTTACACACAGCTCTTTAGTAAGTTGTAAGTATTTACTTCTGGACGTTAGTTGTCTATCAATCAATAAACCTACCTTATATAGTTTTACTCACCATTTTACTGCTATCAGGTGAACATGAACATGAAGAGTTAATATATATCATTCAAATATTTTTAGTCTATTACTGTTATTTCTAACCTCTCTGAGTATATGTCATTCAACTTTTTTTGGTTTGTCTTTTTTTGCTTTTTTTCTAACTTTGTAATAAGTTGTACTGAATAAGATTACACTGATAAATTATTGGTGTCTTTCACATTTCCATCTATATAATTTATTTCTTATGAACACTTACACAATTAAACTGAGCTACACCATCTTTATCACACCAACAATACCGATGACTTCTGAATATATGTGGCTTCATTCTCTCTGTCTCGTCACAGTAATCACTGAAAATTTATGGAATGATACATGTATTTCTCTCATTTGTAATCACAGTAACCAAGTCATATTAGTCATATTAGTTCTATTCTTAAATTTTACATAGATAATATACATATATTTTCTTTTCTCTATCAACATTTTATTCAATACTACAATTATAATTCTGGTAACTGGTAGGATAGAAATAGATATAAGGTATGCAAGGCATATATCAAAGTCAGAAAAAGTTAAGAGCTAGAACAAGAACAGATTAACTATAGCTAATGTCATGAATGTATGAGATTTAGAAATGATAAGTAGTAGACAAAATATTATTCATGGGCTACTAATTTTCATGGATTTTTCCGGGATAAAAATGAACCACCAATAAAATTATTCAACAAATGCCCCAAAGAGTTAAATATCAAACTTTTTTTTAACTTCTTCACTTTGTACATGCTGTAGAGTAGGTGGTACAATGGATAAATGCTTCAGCTATTAATACAGATGACAGAGATCTCAAGTTTAAACCCACTGCTCAAAATGCCAAAAAAAAACTTTTAAAATTGAAAAGCTCTTGAAATATAGAATGATTTGAAATATGGAATTAATTCATTTTGGTACATCACTGTATCCCCATCCAAAAAAAAACAATTTAATAACGAATAGTAGTTTTTACATGACCTGATGTTGGTAATTAATAATAAATCAAGAAAAATATCAACTTTACAGAAAATAACAGGCATCAAGTGCATTATAAGAATGTAACATTTACTTAAATCACACTTGATATAAAAATGAGATGTAGTATGATTGCTAATGAGGCAAATATCCATCAGAGACTAAATGGTGTGGATGGCCGTATAGTGACATGTTGCTGTTAAGGACTTTATACTTACTCCCAAATCCTACCTTACCTTCTCCTTTTGTAACACATTACCTTGCATCATAAGAACACTGCTTGATAATTTCCTCCTCAGAACATTTTGTGTCCACAACAGGAACAAACTTTAACCTATAACGATGTTTCTTTACTGGAGGCTTATACCTGGACATCAAATCATCTAGACTACCAATTACATGGTCTTGCTGAAAGTATCGATATCAGAAAATTTTTATTCTAAAAAAGCACCATATATGAGAGGTGTCTGTCAAAAGAACTACCAGGAGCATAAAGCAATGCAAACTGACTTATTAATAAATCATGTGATGCACTAGTACAGATAATCACAATAAAATATGTATCTTTAAGCTAATTATATATATAATGACTTGATACTTTATTTCAAATTTAATATGAACAAAAAAAATCAGTTTTGCAAATAATTGATGGGTTTCAACAAAATTATTATGAAACTTCCGACATATAAATCATACCTTATATCCCCCAGTCATTGGACAAAAGCATTGATAAAAAGTTTTTTTTATATATATATAATAAAAGAAATTTTCAGTAATCTATACATTTTATTTTGATATACATCGACTCAGTCGGGCACAAAAGTTACATTTTCCCTAAGAATTTACTATTCATCGTTTACTTTTAACAAATTATCAATCGTTTACTTTTAACAAATTATCAATCGTTTACTTTTAACAAATTATCAATCGTTTATATAGTACATGTATAAAAATAAGGAGATGTGATATGATTGCAATGAAACAATTGTCGACCGTGACTGAATGGTGTGCATGTCAGCAACTACAGGTCAATTTACATCTTTCACCAATAAGCAAATCCCATACTGTTTAGTATAATAAGCTATAAGAGGTCCCATATCAAAAATTGGGTCAAATAAAAGTATTATTTAATACTTGCAAGAAATGTTTTTTGAAAACCATCAAAAATCCTATTTGCTATAAACAAAAATTAAAAGTTTTTTTATAGTACAAATACTTAAGGAAGAAACATAAATGGAGAATGTGTCAATGGGCCACAGATGCCCCCGCTTGTAAATATGCATGAGTCAATGTACTAATTATTGACATAGTTTCATAACATTTGGTTGAGGCAAACTTAAGTTAGAAAAGGGAATGAAAAATTCCGCAATTTTTATGTTTATAAAGGGCATAACTCATGAATGGAAAAAGTGACGCCACCCAATTTCGAAGTTGATCTGTGTTTTGTGGTAATGAGTATTGTGTGTAAGGTTTTATAACATTTGGTTGAGGCAAACTAAAGATCTAGAACGGAAACAAATTTTGGGGACGGACGGAATGGTACGGGACAGAGAAGGGTAACATTTAATGAAAATTGACTGGTAATTTTGTCCCATATACTGGTAAATTTTGTTTCATAACTGAATATTCAAAGCCTTAATTGCATTGTCATCTCAGACCTGTACCAAGTTAATTATAAAAGAAAAATGCTTGCCAATACCCTTGTCCAATTCCAAGATATAGAATAAAATAGTATATTTTCTATTTTCAAATTACAGAATGTTTCCAAATTTAAAATTTTTGGCAAAGGAGAAAACAATGCAAACCTTTTAGAAATAGCCTTGATATATATGTAAGCTGTTAAAAATTGTTAATTCTTTCGCTACCTATTTTTGCAATCCCCTTTTTACCATGATCATGTTAAAATGTGATTTCAACTGAGAATTTTTTCTGTGCATTTATTGTTGCTATTTTTGAGACAAGAAAAAAAAGCAACCATAATTGTTGTGATCTTAAAAATTAAAAATGCCCACAATATCCTGCTAAACTAAATAATTGTAACAATAACACATTTCACAGAACCCAGGCAAACTTTTGAGCTTCAAACCACTAAGAATTCTATAGCTATAGTAAAACTTACCTGATAAGTTGTAAGCTGCAGACCCCTTACCATTCCACTGTCCACAATTCCCAGGTAAACTTTTCCACCTTTACCTGTGTTTAGCATAGCATTCAATGCCCTACAAATACAACATTTTATTGAAGTGTTTTACATAATGGAAAGAACATGACCCTAAAATCAATTTTGGAAGAACTGCTTTAGAAATAGCTCTGTATAATTACTTTAAATTTGCTCATTTCTCTATCATTTCTTAATTTCTTATACATGCAAAACTATACTTTATCATCATGTTTAATATATCCTATCTTCTTTACCATTACCTGTAAAGATGAAAATACTAGCTACATTAATACAAGCATATTTTTCTCTAACATTCAAACCTACACAGCCCACACACCAAACAGCTGTATATTTATCATCTCCAACCCATAGAGGGATTTGGTTGTGTTATGTCTTTTTTTCAGTCTAGGTGTATAGCCTAACAATTTTACACCAATTAAACTGCTGATTAATTTATTCTTGGGTGTTTTTCCAAACATGTGTTTGTGTATTTTGAATGAATTATCTTGTTGCAGTCTTGTTCATGTATCATTCAGAACTGGGAAGAATTCTAATTTTTCCTGACTGCTGTAATGTAATATAATTCTGTCTACAATTTCTCATACTGTGGGTTAATTGTTATTCATTGGGTACTAATTTTTGTGTATATTGTGGGTATATGTGAATTACAAATATAAATGTTTAACAAAATACCAAATTTCTATATTAATCCACAATAAATTGCTTCGCAGAGCGCAGCTGGATACAACCAAAGAGGTCCAACCCTGAACAGTTGGGGCAAAAATGGACACAATATTAACGCTTGATACAGGTCTGAATTTGAATTGTAATTGAATATTTGACACATAATAGGTTTCTGACACAGAATAACTGTAGTCAAAGAACTTAGAATTGGTTATATGATTTGAATTTATATTCAATTTTTTGCTTTTGTGCAATACACTTTGCTGTTGTGAATTGACCCCCCTCCCCCCACAAAAAAGAAATAACCCCCCTTTATTTTCGCATTTGTGCAATACACTATATATGTTGTTGCATATTGACCCCCCCCCCCCCCCAAAAAAAAAAAAAAAAAACTTTTCTTTTGCAAAAAAAATAATATTTGAAGAATTTTTCTTCTTTAATTTTCTGAAATCTGAATTGAGAAAAAATTTACCCCCCCCCCCCCCCTTTTTCCCCAAAAAAATTCTTTCCCTCAAGATATGGTCATAATCTCAATTCAAATTTCCAATGGAGTTTGCAACCATAATTACCCTTTAAATACATCATAAAAGTCTGAAAAAAGAAAATGACATACATAATCATGCCTAAAATTAATTTTCCTTAATAGTAACTTCTAAAAATAAATTGACAGCTAATCATCTCAAGACAATACAACATTTCATTATACATAATTTAAAAGCAGTGTAAGGGAGGTAATCAAAATGTTGTGTCTGGATTACCTCCCTTACACTGCTTTTAAGTTGTCCTTATTGTCAATTAACCAGGAAACCCTTGTTTTTCCCTCTTTTTTGCCCCTAATTCCTAAACGGTTTGAGCCATAACCCCCCAAAGCAACTCCTAACCATCCCTTTGCGGTTTGGAAACTTGTGGTATAATTTCAGAGAGATCCATACACCGTTCCACAAGTTATTGTCTGGAAACTAGAAAAATGCTTATTTGGGCCCCTTTTTGGCCTCTAATTCCTAAACTGTTAGGACCATAACCCCCAAAAGCAATCCCAACCTTCCTTTTGTGGTTATAAACCTTGTGTTTAAATTTCATAGATTTCTATTTAATTATACTAAAGTTATTGTCTGGAAACCAACTGTCTTCAGACAACGACGAAGACGTGATACCAATACGACCTGCTAAATTTTTTGCGGTCGTATAAAAATTGGTACCCACTAAAAATAAATGTGTCAAGAGTATAAGATTTTATGTTTTTTAATTTCATAATTGAAATCTTGTTATTATACAGATATATATATATATAAGCATCATTTAAAGACTTCTTTCTGTGGTATATTTTTACATATATTTTACTATAGAACAAATTGTGCATAGCTTTCACATTTGATTTCATCTTTACTTCCCTGTTCATCCCTAATACATGTATTTCAATGCTTTTATAAATCTGCATTCAAATGAATTCATTTAAAAAATAATTTAGATAATCAACTTGTTCGGTAGTTTGGACGTACATATACTGCATGTCCAACCTATATTAATAGTGCACATGAACAAATTATTTTGAAAATATTTTCTAAATTGCAACAAAATAATAAACTACAGTCAAATAAAGACATTGGAAAAGACTAAGAAACGTATAATATCCAAACGGAAGATATGTCTTCCTCCACGTTGAGATTGGTCTTTAGTGGTAGATTTCCAAAATTATCATGATCATGAACAAATATTGGTATTTACAAAATGTTAAAAAAAATGTTTCAAACAATATCTTTGGGTTCTGTTTATACTAAATACACGTAATACATAAAAATATACCTAGAAACAGCCCTTCTTGATGCCTTTTCCTTGGTGGTTTCCTGTGTCCAGGGAGGTAACTCTTCCACTGCTAAATTTCTATGACCTTTAAACTCATTGAACATATCTTCTTCAAATGGTACTTCTGAATTTCTTATGTAATAGTGATGAACTTTTAACTTTGTACCAGCCATCATGAATTCTGTAATGTTATATATATGCATAAAATATACTGAAAATATTTTATATTCAAGAGGTTATGTAAAAGTTTATGCAACATATTAAGGTGGTACCTAACACTACAGGGAGATAACTCTGTAAAAATCAGCTAAACGTTTTAATCACGTTGTTTTGTTAAGGAAATATTACGCTTCTCAATGATCAAAATTAGTGTTTGTCAAAATGCTATATAACCAACGAAATTTTTCTGATAAAGTGGTTGGTTCAAATTCTTTGAAATTTTTATATTTTTGTCAAAGGGTCAAAGTAAACATTATGTCAAAATTTTATGAAAATTAAACGAGCCAAATTAATTTTAGTCAAGGTGTTGGGTACCACCTTAAGCATATATATTTATACTATATTACTTAATGGTTTATACAATAGAGTCTTCAATATGTTTTTTATTTATTTTAAAGATGGGGCATACTTTACTCCTGTCTGTCCATCATTCTGTTCACCTGCATCAGATATACTAGAGCCCTGTTAAAGGTTCCTATGGTCTTTTCTATGTCTTCTACATACACAAGACTGAATAGACTTGCATTTCATGTGGATTTATGTTTTGATTCATAGTTGCTTGCTTTAAGATCAATTGCAAAAACTTCATGAATATACAAATGGAGACCAAATCAACTATTAATACAATATTTAAGTCAAAACAACCATGACAACAATCATGATTTAAAAAACACTCAACAATAACACCAAATTAGGCTGTGTATAAATACCAATTAGCAGTAATCATACATAATTAACATTTAATAAATAATCATCAAATCAATTTAAAATATTTCATTTAAAAATTCCCGAATTTTTATTTATGAAAATAAAAATATTTTGATATGAACTTATAATTCTACAAAGCATCTAAAAAATTTTCAGGTTTTTGAATAAAAAAAAAAGGGTGCGAACGGACCTAGAGGGGAACGTGTGGGGTGCGAACTAGTCCAAATAATTATGACATCTTGAAAGGCTATTATATTTTTTTCTTTGACGCCTTACATCGCTGGAAGGCGTCAAAGCAAAAATTTAAAATAGCCTTCCAAGACGTCATAATTATTTGGACTATGTGCGAACGTGTATTGGGCACGAATGGACCCGATACCGGAGAAGGGTACCCCCTGTCCACCTCTTCTCAGTACTAGTGATAGTCTGTAAATTTCATGGAAAAAAATGTTTGAAAAGGGAAGTGAAATATAGTTTGTTTCAATTGAAAATTAGAAGGGTGTTAATTCAACATTCAGTTTAAGAATATCTTATCAAAATAATATTGAAAAAAATAGTTTTTTGATGATTAAAGCAGGAACATATATATACTGTTCCCAGTTGAAAACAAGTTTTTCCCACAATTTTTTTTTAAACATGTCCCCTTTCACAGCTTTCATGATAGTATTGACTAGCACACCACCTGTTTTATATAGCTGTTAATCCTGTAAGAACCCGATTTTAATTAACCATGAAATATAAGCTGCAAAGTAGCCCTGTGGCTGTGGAAGAGTTGGAAAATTCGAAATTTAATACCGGAAGTTGCTGCGCCGGTCTAACTCCCAACACAATACCGGATATTGAAATGTGGCAAATATGTAAACAAAATCTCCCAGCTAATATTGCAGGATATAGTGTACATGTATGAGTCCTTGACCAACGTAAAAATGACAAACTACTGAAAGAGCATGTATGAATTATTTAAAACTGTTAGAGGGTGATGTTTTGTATTTGAGAATCAAGACCAGCTGTCCACATCATCGGCACATGTACACAGCTTTAAAAATATGCACCAGATTAAAATTTTCTTGTTTTATCACCTCCCTTAGTCAATGGTCACTGTTGTAGTCATCTGTATCTGTATGGGTACATTGCAGAATCCCCAGAACTGTATTGCAACGTGGCAAATAGTACAATTGGTCGCTGATTTATAACAAAACAATTTACGAAAAACAAATCTTGACAAACATGAACCAAAGACAACCACTGTACTACAGGCTCCTGACTTGATAAATGCACATAAAGAATGTGGCAGAGTAAAACATGTTTGTGAGCACTCAACCTTCAACCTAACCTGGGACGGTGTTGCAACAGCACTTCACAAGAACAAACTACAAATCAGGTGCAATAGACTTTTTTTCATATTACTGATTTTTGACTCCAGATTATATAATTTTGAACAGGTCACCTAATCTCTGGTTGGACATCTTGGTACTTGGTCAAGTAAGAGCATACAAAAGAAGTAAAATCAAACATATAATCTGTGCAATTTTGGGGCAAAGTTGACTGTTTACCGATTATTTTTAGAAAACCTACAATGTAAGACAGTTAATTCCCCCCACCAAAATTGTACAGATTGAAAGCTTGACTTTACTTCATTACGTTGCTCTAATTTGACAGAGTACCAGGATGTCCTACGAAAAAATATAAAAATAAACTCCAGAGTCAAAAGCACAGGCACTTGGTCTCTGAAATTTGTTTCCTAGATACCTTAATATAACACAAGGTACTTATTAATAATCTGCATATTTGAAAAATGCCATAATTATTTCATCTCCCCTCAGCTGATTGGAAATATAAGTCTAGCAGTAAATGGTATCTTTCCCCTCTCTTATACATATCTTGGTTTCCGATCGGTCAAATCTTATTGCTAAAAATAAAAGTTTCTTGGAGTTATCTCATTTTATATGTAAAATCCGGAGAGAAAGTGAATAACATTAATGGAATGGGAAAATTTGAGTCTAAAAATAGAAACTCATAACTCATAAGACATACCTCTAATAACATTTGTTAGTTTTTTTTCACAGAATTTTTTACAAATTTACTATCTGGATGATAAGTTCAGACAAATACTAACAAGTTTTTTGGAAATACTTTTTATAATTAATCATATACTGCGAGACTTCTATTTCCAATCAGCTGTGGGGAGATGAAATAATTACGGTTGACATACTTGGGGAGGCCTGCTACGAATGATTCTGACAATAAAGGTAGGCCTGATATACACCATTGTGTAGATAGATCAATTTTGATTTATGGCATAACAAGTTTTAGTGGGGTAGACGACTGTGAAATCGAAATATAACAAAAGTTCATGACCAGGTGACATTTTTCAAAAACGCGAGTTAAGTACCTTGTGTTACATTAAGGTATATAGGGGGTAAAAAATTTCAGAGACAAATGCCTGTGGTCAAAAGTCGGTAATATGAAAATAGTTTATAGGCTAAACTCAAAAGATCGGTATGAGCACAGATTTATACTATATGAATCCTTGGTATGAGGCACACAAAAAAAAATAACCTTTTAGAAAAACATTATGCATAATTAAGAGCCAATTTAACTCTGCATAATGTTTGAAAAAATTAAACATGTTAAAAGTCTTTCATGTCTTTCAAACATTTTAATTACATGATTTATTTTTTAGTTAAGCTTAAAACTTTTGATATCAAAAGATATTTTACATTAAAAATTTAGTTAAAATGTATATATATATCTATCTGTGAAATTCAATGGGCCAAATGTTGGTCTTCATTTTGGTTCATATTTATGTGGTGGTAAGGCGGTAGTGCTGGTATCTGATCCTTAAACACTCTGTAGAAAAATATCAACTTTTTATTGTTTTTGTCTATGATTATAGGGTTTGTAGGTCAAGTTATTTCATCATCATTGTGATCATCTTTTTGTTTCATCATAACCCTATCACAAATATTTTCATGTTATAATAATTGAGATTTCACCACCATGTCAGGAAACAAGTTGATAGGATGGGATTACAAAATTTCTTGAAAAATTATGGAGAGGTGACATCTATACTAAACCACCAGAGGCTCCAGACATGCCAGAGCATTGAAAATTGATCACCTACTAATTCATCATGCACATTTAAATCGGACATGCATGTACATGTGCATTAAATTTGGCATAAAACAATCCCCATCAACATGATCAAGTAAGACACTAAAGTATAAAATATAACTTGTAAGCTTTGTGAATAATATATTAATCCTTTATTTTTATGTAATCTAACATCACTTTTATTTTACAAAATCATACTTTATTTTGTAGACACCATGGGGAAGAAAAGAAGGCCCCCTATGAGAGTTCTGGAGGATGTAGTTGAACCGAGAGCCAAAATAGTAAAAACATCAGTGTGTTCCTGTTCATTTGTAAAACTAGCCATAAAAACATTATGTTTAGTTATATTTTATTACACATTTTCCATTGGATTGACATTTTACAACCAGAGGTTTATTCATGTAAGTTCTTTTCTAAATCAGCAGTCGTGTATGAAAACTTAAACAACATAGCAAAGGTCCTTAAAATACTACAAGGTGTATTCTTGCATTTGATGGAGAGTTATGGTTGCTGATGGAAATATATAATTTATTCTCCTAGAGCTATAAAAACTAAATATTCATTGTCATGATTGTCAAAATGAATTAAATCTGTTTAGAAAAATGTTGCATGTTTGAAATTAAATGTATATACATTTTACATCAGTACATTTGTCATGTTTGTAGCGTTGTAGGTTTCTCTTGATAGAATATGTACATAATCTATTTTCTTTTAACTTTCACTTGCACTAAGATCTGATTATCAATGACTGATAGCCCTTTGATATCTTGAAGAAAATAAGAAAAAATTGGAATCATTGAATACCAACTTATTTATGACTAATCATGAGACGACATGATGCAGGGAATGTAAGATTGCCTACTCATTTATTACAGTTCTCTCAGTAAAAACAAATTAAATTTAAAAGGTTAAAACAACTGAAAAACCAAGGAATAACTTAGCAAAGAAATAACACTATATACTTGTTTGGCTTTATAACTATTTTGAACTGAGCGTCACTGATGAGTCTTATGTAGACGAAACGCACGTCTGGCGTATTAAATTATAATCCTGGTACCTTTGATAATAACTAATTATAATTACTGTTCTGTATACTATATCATAATCATCATAATGTCACTTGATGGTCTTGTAAATGTTTTTGTCTTTAAAAAATTTGGTGCTTCTGTCAGATATTTGATCATAAATTTTAATTAATTCACAATTTATCTTTACTCTTGGCACTTTTGAGCTTGTCTTATACATCTTCCTTGGACCTATATAACCCTGCTAAAACTTCTTTAAATTCCAAATAACAACTGTGATGTCAAATGTGTTTTACATGGCATTAATTGACCCTGGCTTATCACTGATTTCATATGTAAAAGCGATTGATAATAATAGTTTGACCCCAACATCAAGTCTATCCCCTTTTGAGTTGTAAATAAATAAAACATATTGTTTCAAATCATGAAATCTTAACAAATAATTTTCTCCACTCATCCAAAGAAAAAAATTGGAACTCTCAGCAGGTCTTTTACAATACCAATATGAAGACAACCTGATAATCAATAACAGGCATATGAACTTAATTAATGCAACTAAATGTATTTTGGCCCTTTTTATTTTGAAAGATTGGAACTATTGTTCCAATTCTTTTCTAAGGTACAGTCCTCCCCAACAGCTTAGCTAATAAACCAGTAACTAAATCTTTACACACAAACATATAGTTCCAAGTGTTCTCATGTCTGTCAGCAGTGCGTACATATGCACAAATGACTTGTAAAAAATTTTGTTACATCTTTAATTTTTGTGGTAAAGATTGCATTCATGCAATCAAAACCCTTATGTTGATGGCTTGATAGTTATCAATTTTCCAGATTTTTTCACTACTCTTGATATACACAAAACATAGAGAATGATATACACAAAACATAGAGAATGATATACACAAAACATAGAGAATGGTATACACAAAACATAGAGAATGATATACACAAAACATAGAGAATGATATACACAAAACATAGAGAATGATATACACAAAACAGAGAGAATGATATACACAAAACATAGAGAATGATATACACAAAACATAGAGAATGATATACACAAAACATAGAGAATGATATACACAAAACATAGAGAATGATATACACAAAACATAGAGAATGATATACACAAAACATAGAGAATGATATACACAAAACATAGAGAATGATATACACAAAACATAGAGAATGATATACACAAAACATAGAGAATTGAGCAAAACATTCTATACATCCTAGGGGCCTCGGTGGCCGAGTGGTCTAAGTAGTTACTACTTTAATCACTAGCCAGTCAACACTGAGGTTGTGAGTTCGAACCCCACTCGTGCGGGTGCACTCAACTCCAATCTTAATTGACTAGGATTGTCAGTTTTCCTATCGAAGGTCGTGGTTTTCTCCGGGCACTCCGGCTTCCTCCACCAATAAAAACTGGCCGCCACGAAATAGCCCAAAAGCGGTGCTTAAAAGTGGCGTTAAAACACCAAAAATCAATCAATCTATACATCCTACTTATGAAAGTTTCAAGAAAATTTTCAATGAAATGTTTACTCAGATACTCAAGTTACACAATGATGTGTATGTGTTTAACCATATTTGTCAAGAAAATTACATAAATTGTGCATGGTGCATGAATCTAGTATCTGTTGAAGTTCTAAAAATATCAATGATGTCATTGTTAAAGTAATATTTAAAATTAGTTTCCACAGAAAATGAATGCAATTTTTACCCTTCAGTGCTCACAAGCATTTGATTCATACAGATTTTTATTTTAATATTTTATATTCTTGTAAAATCTAATTTCAGCATTTTAAGATTCCATTATCATTAACTATGGCCCATCTAGTCATCAAGTTCATACTAGCAGGATTATGTAGATGTTTATTACAAGTGTGTACCAGTAAAGAGAGAATCACTTTACCTTGGGACATAAATGTGAAGAAAATTGCTCCTACAGGTATTGTCACATTACAAAATAAATTCATCTCAATGTGCATTTAAAAAATAATTGTTTCAAAAATAGACTTTAATATTATAAGTAAAAGAACTTTGTTTGAAAATAATTTTCCTGACAAAAAGGAAATAAATTGTTGATATGTATGTACTGTATATTCCCCATATCTTGGAGCACCATGATATTGTTATATGGTGTAAAGAAGAACATTTAACACACTGTATATAACCTATGAACAAAAATCTGGTTTTGGTTGAGCATGTAGATACAGTAGTCCAAATTCTCTTAGCATCGCTGAACACCAGATATTGTCGTTGATCCAAATAGATTGTTAAAAAGAGAGGTGAACTTACCAAAGGGATATTCAAACTCATAAATCGAAAACAGACAGACAATAATATGGCAAAAAACGAAAGACAATGAAAAGACAAACAACAGTACATGAAACACAACATACAAAACCAAAGACTGAGCAACATGAACCATAGTAAAAATGGGGGATGATCTAAAAGTACATGTAGTAATAAATGACAGAAATCCAGTTTACTGTCTGTAAGAATAAGTTTAAAGCAATATCTAGTGTATCTGGATGCATATCAAAAATAATTTAAGCTAGGCTTGACTTTGGCAATTTTAATGCCATTCTGGTTATGCACAATTTGTTTTCAAAAATGATACGCCAAACTACAAGCACCTATACAGAAACAGCAGGATTTGAAAAGGTGATAAAATCAGTTTTTGTTCGTTTGTTTATGAATGATATTTTTCTGTTGATTATGGTGTTGACTTATATTACAGGTATTGCTAGTATTCTGGATATAGCATTATCAAACTGGAGTTTTGAGTTTATTACTGTATCTTTGTAAGTATACATCCTCATTTTAATTGATCACTTCATAGCAGAAAGTTAAATTATGCATTCCCTCTTGAAATGTTATGTTGGTTTAACACTCTTAAAAGTCACTATCGAACATCTTAAAATAAGGACAAGACAAGGTCACATTAATGCCAGTCAATAGTATGGACACTTAGAAACACCAGCAATGACAGAACAGTAACACTAGGCCAGGGGGGTTATTCAAAAGCCAGGAGAAAATCTCACCTTAAAAAAAATATCTAATACCATAGTTCTGTCAACATGTTCTAAATATCAGGATCCGAAGACACCAAGTTTCATTCAATTATAGTAATATGTCCTTTTTTTTCACTTCATGGCTGAAATACAAAGGATAAAAGCTTTTATTTAGGATGAATCATACAAACTAAGAACTAAGAAAAATGTCAGTTCAGAGGAATAATGAATAGATACAAATGATTTGTCTTGACTTCTACAGGTAATTTATGCATATTTATTTATAGATATACAATGACCAAGTCAACAGCTGTAGTATTTATACTAGGATTTTCTTTGTGTTTTAGACTAGAAAAACCAGTAGGTATTTGTATTCATTATTGTGGAATGATTGTAAGACGGTCTGTTGTATTATAAAAGAATACATTCATGTCCAATTTCATTTTAAACACATTGACAAAAGTCACATGATAACATCAGAAATCTATGCAGTGCTGGAATCAATACAACCATGTCTGCATGAAAAGATCAATATATGGACAATGTCACCTTACAGTAGGTTTTCATCAGGGTGAGGGAGACAAACTAGAACAGTATGGTCGACTTTTTAAGTGCAAATCTATTTAAATCATTTCATTTACTGAATTTGCCTGCATAAAAATCAAGGCATGTCATGTGATACGACTTATTCAATCTCCACATTGAAACAACTATTCTGGAACTTTTCTATTCTTAGATGATTTATATCTTTTATGACTTTGTTTATATTTTAATACTTAACGTGGTCACTTACCGGTATTATCTGTTTCTCATTAATTCAATTTTAATAAGTACATCTACATTTGTTATTGTAATTTTGAAACACATTTAATATAAATAAACTCACCAATTTTTAATGAAATCACACAAAAGAAGGGCACTTTATTGATCTTTTAGGCAAAATATTGTCAACTCAAAACCATGGGTCAAGATAGAACCAAGTATCTAAATATCTCTTTGAATGCCTTCAGCAATGAGCCATTATTATATAAATTCCTTGTATAAATCTATCTTTTGTATAAAGCTAATATTTTGGTGTTTGAGATGTTCATAAATAAAGACTAGAGAAAAAGCTTATAATTGAACCTCCTAAACTAGTTTTCAATATACTTTTATGGTTTCATCACCAGATCTTAAACATTTGCATTGAGCCTCAATAATCACTATAGTCCTATGAAATATTTGCTACTGGATGTTAAGCAACCAACAATCAATCAATTATCACTAGGAAATAAGTTACTAGACCTGGACAATTTTTGTATCATTATGTAAGAATTTAAATCATTTCATTTATGATGATATGTCAGCCTTAATTACTTCTGAGCATAAGTAAATGTGTATTTTGTTCTTTTTCAGAGATGGTCATTAATATTTGTAGTATTATTTATAGCTGGAGGTCTGTTTATGTTTACTTTCCAATCAACACAATTTGATCTAGAGGGATTCCTAATGGTTTTTGCAGCCTCCATTTTGTCTGGTCTCAGATGGACATTGGCACAAATAGTCACACAAAAACATGAAATAGGTAACAGACATTTTAATATAAGGTTTAATCCAACACTGTGCTAGCTCATCACACCTTGTAAAAGACAAAAAATATCTGCATTGACAATATAAATAAGTTTCTCTTGCCCAATGAAGGTTAATAGATTTTTAAGATTAGTCTTTCATTGTTTGTACATCTTGATTATAGCTTTATATAACTTGGTGAGATGTGAGATATTTTTCCATGATTGTATGTTTTCTTTCATATAACAATATATATACTCGAACACCGATCGTCTACTGCAAATGAGATCAGACCTGACACATCCTTTTTGTTGTGGTTGTATAAAAGTGGTTCACCTTCGCAAACAATTTGTACACGAATGACTGGTTAAAGTACATATATAAATTGTAGGTCAAGGTGAGCCAGTTTCATGCATCAAGATCTTGATGTAAGAAACTTCTATTTATAGAGGTCAAATGTTATGGTAGCTGGCCATCCTTCTATAGTAAAGAATATGTCAGTGCAATATTCAGATCACCTTCATACAGATTTCATTTCATTAAAGTTCAAATTTCAGAAAATACATATTATGAAAGAAAGGGTTTGTCATAGGTCGCATTATGGTAATATCCATACTAAACCCAGTGTGATTAGCTCTCATTCTATGCATGAGAAATTGCAATAGATAGATATATATCTATTTGGTTCTTATTGAAAGTAACTCTTCTTTTAATAAAATGAGCAAGGGAGTACTACTAAGGGGTGTTTAATGACCTTGACCAACCATTATGATATGGTTTTTCTTACTTCCATTTTTTTGTTATTATGATTAAGTTATTTATCAAAAAGGATGTTCTGTATATAACTATATGTGGTAGGATTGCCAAGGAGGTAACCATCCACCAGAGTCCAAATGATGTGAGTTAATGCAACCATAATTATATAAGCCACCAACAATGAGCAAAATCTACACCAAACAACCAGTAACAAAAGGCCAATACATGACAAAATGCAACACTACTAAACAGAAAACCTATTGGCTGATTTATGACAAAACAAAAATAAGACAGACAGCAACAAAGGACAACCACTGAACCACAGGCCCAAAACCGGAACAGGCACACAAAGAACAGCATGGCCAAACATGTCTGTGAGTGTCCAACTCTGTCTTTTACTATACATGTTATTATTTAGCAATGATATTCCACATAATAATTCAAGGACTTTATTTGGTCTAGCAATATTGATAAGATTTTTTAATTGTAATCTGTTATAGTATATGCATCTTGATTATAGTTTAATATTACTTAGTGAAAGACGTGATATGATGTTCCAATTATAAGAATGTATGACTCTAATGTATTTTTAGGTTTAAGTAATCCATTAGACCTGATGTTCCACATACAGCCATGGATGATTGTAGGCTTGTTACCTTTATCTATAGCATTTGAAGGTTTGTATTTATTAAATTTTTAATGTATTTTAGAATGTCAGCTGTCATTTGCATAAAATTAAGTTAACTACTGTTGGTATGCCAAATTTTGTACCCAATCGTAGTCTATTACAATAAAGAGGGGAAGTGTTGTAATTAATACATATACATTGGATGAGGACTTCCTGTTCAATTTTTTTTCAATTTCTGATTGCATATATGTGATATGTTCTATCTGAAAATGAACAGGCTTTATACTAAAAATGTATAACTTTGGGTAACAGTTTAAAGAAGAAGAAACGATAAGAGCCATTATCTAAAAAATGTAAAAATAGCTTACTCCTCAGTATTTTCAATATTATGTTTGTTTTGTTGGTTAATGAATAAAGTATGAACGATATATTCAGGGCATTTAGTGCAGAAATATCATCTTGGATGTTACTACATGTATGATGTAATAAACTTGCTAAATTTTTCTTTATTCACCAGTAGATAACCCTTTGAGCCTCTCGATTTTTACATGAATTATTTACCATCAAAATGATGTCACTGACGGTTGTAAACAAAATGGTAAAGGCCAGGTTAAAAGTCTGTGGAGTGATGAAGAAACAAGTATTTGAAATCCATCTGGTGCAAAGGATAGCTTTCACAAATGGCCCTTTTCAGGGCCAACAAAATTTTCTTCCTTTGTAGTACATATGAGGCATTTTAAGACACAAAATAATTCTCTGAAAAAAGTGTTTTGACAATTTGTTACTACAGTAAGACATGTGCAAGAGCTTCTTTAACACAAATTTTCAATGTTGCCCTTAATTAGGTATAATTAAACAAATGTAGCCCCTTGAAAGTGGTGCCTATCCAAGATCGTCAACCCTACAAACTTCTTTTACATCAGACTGCGCCCTAAGAGAAATAATCTTTAAGGGGTGGCAATACTGGATATTCAACCTTTGTACAGTCCATATTTGTATATACTCAAAGAAAAAAAATATAACATATGAAAAATAACCACAACTTTAACATCAAACTTGTTGAAATCCAATACACACATCCATTTTCTGACTCCTTTTTGAATCAAAAACCGGAAATTAAAATCTTGTATTAAGACCAGTTAAAATGGACAATTTATAATGTATTTTAAGTCATTGGTAAATAATTACCCATACCGGTATTTTAAAACATCTTTGTTTAAGACACCTGTAGCAAAAGATCTATTGGAGTAAGACTTTCCTCATATATATATATAAATATTAATGGCAATATCTCAAAATGAGGCTATTTTGGCAGTTCTGCATTAAATGCAAGAAGTTTAACACCCTAAATAAAAATATTAGACAAAATTACAAAATATGAATACTGTCATATGACAGATTAATGTCTTGTTTTTAAACATCTAGAGGATGTATTTGAAATGTTTAATTTTAATTTTCTAGTTGAGGGGCAAAGTGGTCTTGTCATTCATTTTTTCATTACAACTGAAAATAATTTTAACAAACGCATTTAATACATATACATATACTTGTAAGAACATTTAGTATTTTTGTATTGCCTCGACAAAGTAGAAAAAAACAAGACTTATGTGTGCTGTTTCCAGCGGCAGCCTATTGACTTTAAGTGTTTTGCATAGTTTACATGATAAAGTTTGTGGTTAGGTTAGTTTAAAGGGAACCACATATGATTAGTCAATGGTATTTGGTTTGCAGTTTAATAAGCATTGGCATTTTTCATTTCCGTAAATTAAAATTATTTGCCCTGTACCTTCGATCATGGTTCATTGACTTTGAATGATTTGCATAGTTTACATGTTTAAATATTGGCATTTTGATTTCAACGTTTGCATTATACTACATGTATCAAAATTACAAAAGGCAAGGCATAATTAAACAGATATTATCTAACAGTTTATGTATTACTCATAAGCTGTTGATTCTCAGGGGCCTCTTGTATGTTTTAGTCAATATGAATGTTTTTTGTTTTACAGGAGAATTACTGAGTGCAAAGGCTGATTTCTTTAGGTATTCAGATGTTTCTCTTGTGCTGAGAAATGCAGGATTAGTATTACTTGGAGCAGTTTTAGCCTTCTTCCTAGAATTCAGTGAATTTTTATTGTTAGCAAACACATCAAGTTTAACACTGTCTATAGCAGGAATATTTAAGGTAAGTGTAGAACAGAGCCAGTCAAGGATAAAACTTCAAAAGTGTTGTAAAGGATATGCATTACAATTTACAGGTTGTTTTTTTTTCTTTTAAATGTAGATAGACTCTTTAATTCTTATTCTACAAATTTTCTTAAATTTCAGGGAATTGAATATAAAAATAAGGAAATTTAACCTGAATGTTCACTAGTATGTAAATATTTAGGTCAACTTTCAATTTTTGGGAAATAACAGGTAGGTCATTTCATTAGAATCAATTGAAATGCATAAATTTGAAGACCTTTTTATTTTGATCAAAAACTTTCAGGAAGTAAAACAAAAAATTGGAAGTTCCAAGTTTTCATTTTCTCAATGATATGGAATAGGGACCCGGGTATCATTACAATAGCATATATATAACAATACAACAAAACTCAATGGTTTATGAACCAGTAACATTGCTAAGCTTAGTCAGCATGCATGTACATAGTTCAATGGTTTATGAACCAGTAACATTGCTAAGCTTACTCAGCATGCATGTACATAGTTCAATGGTTTATGAACCAGTAACATTGCTAAGCTTACTCAGCATGCATGTACATAGTTCAATGGTTTATGAACCAGTAACATTGCTAAGCTTACTCAGCATGCATATACATAGTTCAATGGTTTATGAACCAGTAACATTGCTAAGCTTACTCAGCATGCATGTACATAGTTCAATGGTTTATGAACCAGTAACATTGCTAAGCTTACTCAGCATGCATGTACATAGTTCAATGGTTTATGAACCAGTAACATTGCTAAGCTTACTCAGCATGCATATACATAGTTCAAAGGTTTATGAACCAGTAACATTGCTAAGCTTACTCAGCATGCATATACATAGTTCAATGGTTTATGAACCAGTAACATTGCTAAGCTTACTCAGCATGCATGTACATAGTTCAATGGTTTATGAACCAGTAACATTGCTAAGCTTACTCAGCATGCATATACATAGTTCAATGGTTTATGAACCAGTAACATTGCTAAGCTTACTCAGCATGCATATACATAGTTCAATGGTTTATGAACCAGTAACATTGCTAAGCTTACTCAGCATGCATATACATAGTTCAATGGTTTATGAACCATTAACATTGCTAAGCTTACTCAGCATGCATATACATAGTTCAATGGTTTATGAACCAGTAACATTGCTAAGCTTACTCAGCATGCATGTACATAGTTCAATGGTTTATGAACCAGTAACATTGCTAAGCTTACTCAGCATGCATATACATAGTCACTATATATATGGTAATTGATGTAAAGAAAATAAATGTAAGAATATCTAGTTTATTTGGGTTTTTAATATTTCATGAATAGCTTGACATTTTCTAATTATTTACTTTTTCAGGAAATTTGTACATTGTATTTAGCAGCCACAGTAAATGGTGATAAAATGACTTTTTTAAATGGCCTTGGACTTGTGGCTTGTTTAGCAGGGATCTCGTTACATGTCATTCTTAAAGCTGTTTATAGTAAGTATAAAGTAATTTTGTGTCTGTACCTAGTCAAACTATCTTGACAATGTGTTGTTCATTGTTGTTTGTTTTTGTAGGTCTATTTTCTTAGAGAAATTGATTGGTCTGTTGTGCCATCTAATATTTTTTTATGCATTATTACACCCTATTTGAACCAACAAAGAGTCCAATGACCTGTTCTCTGGAAAATTAATTATGAACAGTTTAAAGTAGGGATGTCAACACGGTGAAGATTTACTAATCGAGGACTCGTTAGATTTACTGAGCGATACTCGAGTACTCGCTCGGAAAAACATCTACAAAATGGAAATACAAAATTATACCCATTTTACGTATTGTGGGACGTTGTCTTATGGACGTAAAACCTTCAATATTATTACCCAGGACTAGATAATAGTCCCAGGAATTTTATACCATAATTAATAGCTCATTTACTACATATACTAATTATGTAAATTGGCAATGATCTAATCAATTAATTAATAAAAATCTATAGAAAAATTATTACTCAAACAATAGTATTTGGGAATCGTAAAAAAACACATTTAATGATGACCAAAGGGGTGATGATTAGAACTTACTGATGCCTTTAACCCGAGGGCAGACACAGGGTGCAACAAATTTGTTCTTATTTAGAAATATCTTATCAAGTCGATTTCTCCGCTTTGTTACACAACTAACACTCCTGCGAAAATATTTGCTCTAACGTTACAGAGGTGGTGGAATGACTAAGACACGATAAGCTAAAAGTGTAAGCCTTGGAAAGGTGCTTTTGTTCATAGCCTACCTATGTTCAGAGGAATTTTAAATGACAATTAAACGCAAACATTTGAAATGAATTTTAATTTTGATTAATTTCGATTAATATTTAATTTCCCAAGAGGAGCGATACTCGAGTACACGTTGACATCCCTAGTTTAAAGTAACCTTGTGGAAACCAGATTTTAATTAATCCCCTGTAACTTCTTTTTTTAGATTAATCAAAATTATACTGCATTATATTTCATCTTGTATTTATCAATTCAAAACATGCACAATTTTCTTAATTCAATGCCTATTTCTAGATTTAATGTTATACAGAATTATTAGAGCAAATGATTGAGAAGTCTTAAATGTATATGTCCTAAATATCACTCAGGAAATAAGAAAAACAATTTTTTATGGAATAAATCTTGGGGATGTTAACAATCTTAAACATGTTAAATCAAAACAACAGCTGATGCTGTATGTTATTTTGAAATAATTATACAATGTCATGGGTTTTTTTTACAAAACAATGCATTAAAACTTACAAAATGCACAAAGAGTAAATCTCTGAACACACGATCATATGTGTAGAAAGTTTGTATTATATGTATTTATGAATAAACCACATATATATACAGTAGATTTCTTTTATCTAATGAATATCTTAGATATATTTACCATATTGAGGTTGTTTGGTGGTCCATGTCATTGATGTTTTCCTCTCATAAGATACTGTATAAAAATAAGAAGATGTGGAAACAACTTAAATAGGTCACCATAAGACCTTCAAGAAATAAAAAAACACATACCATATAGTACAGTAAATTCAAAAATTATTGTGAGGTTTTTATAAGTGCGAATAATGCGACTGAAGGAGTATCGCAATAATAAGAACTTGCATTCTAACATCTGATACATATAACTGTGTGCAGTTTTTACTGAAATTGCAATAGTTAATCTCACATTGTTGTCCTTTTGAATTTACAGTATATGAAAATAACACTTTATAAAATTTCTTGTGTAAACCATGTTTGTTAAGGAATAACAGCGCTGTATCATCAGAAATACTACTATAATTTTTTTTCATATCTAATTTTAAATTTGTATTGCCTTGTTACAGGAAGTACAGATACTAAAGAAATGTCACATGACTTGGAAATGTTAATACGCAATGGAGAAGCTAATGTAGACTCTGATGATGAAATAGATGTTTTTAATGCTCGTACAGACAGATAGCATATGATTATTATTTATTGTTATTGTCTTAAATTATTGCAATATGGGGTGCTATATGTTGTTAATTTAAGCTCAAATTGGTACAAAAACTTTCCACATTTACCAAAATAACAACTTGAGATTACATTTCTTTTTATACGACCGCAAAAAAATTTTGCGGTCGTATATTGGTATGACGTTGGCGTCGTCGTCGTCGTCCGAAGACACATTGGTTTTCGCACTCTAACTTTAGTTTAAGTTAATGGATCTCTATGAAATTTTACCATAAGGTTCAATACCACAAAAGGAAGGTGGGGATTAGTTTTGGGGGTTATGATACCAACAGTTAAGGAATTAGGGGTCAAAAAGGGGCCAAAAATAAGCATTTTTGTAACTTCCAGACATAACTTGTGTGTTAGTGTATGGATCGCTCTGACATTGTACCACAAGGTTCCATATCACAAAGGGAATGCTGGGATTGATTTTGGCGGTAATTGCCTACAAATTTTAGGAATTAGGGGCCAAAAATGGAAAAAAAAAACATTTTTCTAGTTTCATGACAATAACTTGTGTGTAAGTGTATGGATCTCTATGAAATTTTACCATAAGGTTCAATACCACAAAAGGAAGGTGGGGATTAATTTTGGGGGTTATGGTACCAACAGTTAAGGAATTAGGGGCCAAAAATAAGCATTTTTGTAACTTCCAGACATAACTTGTGTTTTAGTGTATGGATCTCTCTGACATTGTACCACAAGGTTCCATATCACAAAGGGAATGCTGGGATTGATTTTGGCGGTAATTGCCTACAAATTTTAGGAATTAGGGGCCATAAAGGGGCAAAAAAACAAGCATTTTTCTAGTTTCAAGACAATAACTTGTGTGTAAGTGTATGGATCTTTATGAAATTGTACTGCAAGGTTCCATATCACAAAGGGAAAGCTGGGTTTGAGTTTGTTGGTAATTGCCCTATACGTTTAGGAATTTGGGGCCAAAAAGGGGCAAAAAAAAGAGCATTTTTCTAGTTTCCAGACAATAATTTGTGTTCAAGTGTATGGATCTCTCTGAAATTGTACTGCAAGGTACCATACCACTAAGGGAAGGCTGGGATTGAGTTTGGGGGTGATGAATCATAAGGGGGTTCAAAAAATTGGGGGGGAATTTTTTTTCTTTCGTTTTTTTCTTTAAAATTTTCCATTTTAAATTGGTCATTTCTGATTTATATATAAAAGCAAATAATAATGATATGGTATGAATAGGTAAATTAAAAATTTTTAAGTTCTTAGACGACATTCATTCTGTGTCAGAAACCTATGCTGTGTCAAATATTTAATTACAATCCAAATTCAGTGCTGTATCAAGCTTGAATGTTGTGTCCATACTTGCCCCAACTGTTCAGGGTTCGACCTCTGCGGTCGAATCAAGCTGCGCCCCAGCGGAGCATTTTATTTTGTGTTGCTGGAATATGCAGCCACACAAGAGTTGTTTCCCTTAGGTTTTCACTGCTTACGAAACAGTATCAAGTTATATATTCTGTAAAGTTTCAACTTCTAGAAAGTTATTTTGTTCTTCTACACATTTTTATACGCCCGTCAAATTTTTGACGGGACGTATTATGGTATACAAATGTCCGGCGTCCGTCTGTCTGTCTGTCTGTCTGTCCGGCGTAAACATGTCGCACTGTAACTTGAGAATGACTTATCCAAATTTCATGAAACTTAACATAGTTGTTTCTTATGATGGTCAAACGATCTGTATATTTTTTGGTGAAAATAAGATTAAAACTTTTTGAGTTACGGGACTTAGTAACTAAAATAGGTGTGTTTTTTTTTTCACATGTCGCGCTGTATCTCAAAAACAATTTATGATTATTGCTTAAAACTTTACACACTTCTTAGTTATAATAATCTTAAGATCTGTATACTTTTTGGTGATGATTCAAAATTTTATTTTAGAGATATTGAGTATTTTGTTAAAAAAGGGGGAGGGGTATTTCACATGTCGCGCCGTATCTCAAAAACAATTTATGATTATTGCTTAAAACTTTACACACTTCTTAGTTATAATAATCTTAAGATCTGTATACTTTTTGGTGATGATTCAAAATTTTATTTTTGAGTTATTGAGTATTTTGTAAAAAAAGGGGGAGGGGTTTTTCACATGTCGCGCCGTATCTCAAAAACGATTTATGATTGTTGCTTAAAATTTTACACACTTCTTAGTTATATTAATTTAAAGATCTGTATACTTTTTGGTTTTGATTCAAAATTTTATTTTTGAGATATTGATTTTTTAATTTTTTTAAAAGGGGGGTTTTCACATGTCGCGCCGTATCTCAAAAACGATTTATGATTATTGCTTAAAATTTTACACACTTCTTAATTATATTAATCATAAGATCTGTAAACTTTTTGGTTTTAATTCAAAATTTTATTTTAGAGATATTGAGTTTTTTGTAAAAAAAAAGGGGGGTTTTCGCATGTCACACCGTATGTCAGAAACTATTTATGCTTATTGCATAAAAATTCACACACAAGACGACGGGCGTATCATGCGCTTATGGTGCAGCTGTTTATTATCACTGGTTGTACTTAGTTATATTCTTTATTTCGTGCACAAACAAGTCCCAAGATCTTTACTTTTACAAAGTTGGGCAAAGGCTATCTACCACCTTATTGTTACATTTATGACAAATTTAGCATTTTTTCTCAAAGACAGACATATTTATTTAAAGGATTTGCTAAGTCTGACCTAATGCAATTTTCTCGGAATAATTTGAAATCTGAAATTTCAACATTTATCATAGTACAAATATTACTGTGATTACACTGTATATGTATGTTGGCATTTGTTTTTGTTGCAGTTCTGTGTTTCTGTTGTTCCGTTATTTTCCTCTTATAGTTGATGTGTTTCCCTCGGTTTTAGTTTATTTAAAGGATTTGTTTTCGCTTAATCTATTTATGACTATTGAACAGCGGTTAACTACTGTTGCCTTTATTTATAGGTCGTTCCTAATTTCCTGGATTTCCCCTAATTACAGAGGTTGTGTCCAACTTAATTAAATTCAGATATATATATTCCATACAAAACTATGGACAATAAGGAAGAAAAACATTTGAAAATTTATTTATGTGTAAAGCCCTTAATATTTACAACATGTATGTTAAAAACATTTTTTAGAAAATGTTCACTGATATTGATAGGAAAAAATACTTAGACTTAATAATGTCACAAATTTCTTAATAAATTCAATAGAATTATATCTTAATAATATTTATTTTTGAAGAAAAACTTGCTGCATGAAAATATTACCTCCAGTTTCCACTTATCTTTTGTGTCAGATGGATTTTTGTACTGAAAATTAATTATTGGGCTCTTAGATGAATTATTTGTTATACCTGTGTAAAGATGTAGTTAAATTATTATGCCTAATAATTTGTTTGGCAAGGGAAGTAGCATATAATTGAGAATGGTTAATTGGTGTAGACAACATTCCATTGAATCATTTCTGAGTACTTATTTTCATATGAATATAACATTGTGCAATGACAGTATGTATCCATCTTTGATTGATGTTAAAAGTAAAAAATAATATCAATTGTTTTATTTATTCAACTCATTGTTTATCACTGTAAGCTATTACTAATACTAAGTATTATCTTCTGTCATTTGTTATCATATGTTATCTTCTCTCCAACTAGTAGACTTATCCTGTTTAAAAAATTGGGGAAAAGGTTGTTTTCCATGGTCAATAGTGTATTGATGTTGTAGTAAAATTGTCTGCTATTGTAGGCTCTTATTTCATATAGACCTACCGGTATCTAATACTTTCTCTATAATGTGAAGTTGAATGTATGTAAAAAAAGATTGATGTACATGTTCTAGAGGCTTTCTGCAAAGAAGCAAGTTTTGATTTCAGCTACTGTGGATTAATTTTTTCGTGTATACCAATTTTCATGGGTTTGGGAAAAATTGCATTTTCATGGTTATTTGAATTTGTGGTTTGGACAAAGTTTGCATGCAAGCCTTAAGCAATTTTGTACTTTTGTTGAACATTTACATTCGTGGTTAACCTATACCAATGAATCCACAGTAGATCAGATGAAAAATGATTTTGTAGATTCTGTAAAATGACAAATTTTTTCTTCTGTGAAACTACCTTTTCCTCTATATATCCTTTTAATAGGAAGAATCTAAAGTCCTCCACATTGTTTCATCATATCATGCCAATCAGACTTGAACATTCCTGCAATTATCAAAAATCTTTTTCAAAAAATTGTACAATGTATTCTAATGTCTAAAACCTCCCAGATGATGGAGACACATTTAAAATGAATATGGTGTAGATAGTAAATTAGTCTAAGGTACTTTTCAATCAAATGACAAACCATTATGTTAGAAAAGATTTACCGTATTTAAAGTACAAAATTCTGTCCGGTTTCACTGTATAATCACAGATAGTGAGCCACAGATTGGTCGATAAGCTGTGGCTAACTATCCATGATATTGTACAAAAAATTATTCTTTAATTTCTCTAGACTTATTGAACTTTTGTAATTCAGTCACAATAATAAAGAATTACATTGGTAATAAATACTTGTTGATTTTACTTTATATCGTGCTTCAGGTGCCTTGGGATCAAGTAGTCAAAAAATCTCCAATTTTCATAAAATTTTATTAATTTATTGTGATATGCATTGTATAATATAATTGTTTTAATACATTATTGTTGAATATTATTTTGGTGTTTTTTTTATTAGAATTAATATACAAGATTCAATTTGCAGCAATCCAGCTTGGTGGTCTAGTGGTAGCATGCTCTCCTTTCGTGAATGAGGTTTCGAGTTTAAGCCCCCTCTGGTGTCAAACAAAAGACTTGAAAATTGGCAGCTTTTTTGCTTAGCATGCAGCATTGAGGAGTTAGAGTAGAGATCGCTCGGCTCGGAGTCAGAATAAGGTGCCTGGTTCGGTTTAAATATCTTCCTGCGGACTGTTACCTAGTAAAGTAGCATGTTGATAATCTGGCTCAGCAAGTCAGTCTAGTACAAAGTAGGGATTATATTCATATCATATAGTCATGTTCTTGTCCTGAATATGTCATTTATGTGCAACTGAACTTTAAACAACTTATATACAGTACTGGTGGAATTACTGCAAACACCATCAATGTCCTCAGCCAAGGCCATCCGTCATCATGTGTTTCGACCCCTAGCTCGGTACACACTCAGGATGGGCGGTCCACAGTGGTGATCAATCACTGCGCATTGGTGGTGGGTTTCCAGCTACTACTGTCTCTCTTCATCCATAGCAAGACGCTTTCTCTGCTGCTTGGCCCAGTTTCTGAATTGCTGCTCTTCTTTGCCGGCCAGTCAGTCACTCCTACTGCAGAAAACAACCTCCACACTGACTGTGCAGGGAAGCCTCTGCAGCCTACCTCTACAGGAAAGTTCCATGACTGCCATCCTCTATCTCTGCACACTGCCAACAGTTCATCGTACTTTGCCCTCTTTCTTTCATTGGCTTTGCCACATCTCTCCTCCCAGGGAACAGTCAGCTCTATAATTACAACCTTTTTACTGCCGGAAGACCAGAGAACCATGTCTGGTCTAAGGTTAGTTGGTACAATATCAGGAAATTGCAGCTTTTTTCCTAGATCTACTTCTAACTGCCAGTCTCTAGCCTGATTTAACATTCCTAATGTGTTCTGTTTACTTTTCTGGCATAGTTCCCCCTCCTTCACAAACTGGATCTTGATAGGTTTGTTTCTAGTGTGTTTTGCATCTTTCCTCTGTTTCTCTATCACTTCAGCAAGTTCCCGGAGTACTTGATTGTGTCGCCATGTATATCTCCCCTGTGTAAGAGCGATATTGCATCCCGAAAGTACATGTTGTAGTGTTCCTCTGTTTCCGCAAAAGGGACAATCTGGTGTTTCTGAAAGTTTCCACCTGTGCAGATTTGTAGGTGTTGGTAACACATCATACACTGATCTTAGAATGAACTGTAGTTGGTATTGAGGATATCGCCATATTTCTGACAATGTAAGGGATCGTTGTTCTAATTCCCATCTCGACCAAGCACCTTGGCTCCCTAATTTTACTGTCTTTGCTTGTCTGTTTTCTTCTCATCTAGATTTTAACTCTCTTTGAACTAGACTTCGTCTCTCTTGGGTGTTAGCATTTTTCCAGTAGCAACTTTTCGATGTTCCAAGGCCCTGTCTTCCTACTGCCACTGTTCCTACGATATCTTTATGCCTTAATCTACTCCCTGCCTCTGAAACTGCTTTGGAGGCTGACCACTTCCGTCCTGTTCTTACTTGGACACCTGCTGTTTTCTTCTTACTTTGTCATCTCTAGATTCTTTCAATGTCATTACAAGGCGAGTTTTGCTTACTTTGAATTCTTCCACTATTGATGTTAATGGTAGCTGCAACTTTGCTGTCCTGCTGTACAGTCCTACAGTTGTAAAACTTGGAGGGACACCTGTTGATGGTTCTTTCAAGCTTCTCAACTGTTGTCAATGTAATTTCGTACAACATAGGTGGCCATGATATCCTTGGCAGGAGTCCATGTTGGTATATCCATGCCTTTAATTTTCCTGGTGGACCTGTCTTGTCGATGTTCCTCATTCCCTCTGAAACCTGTTGTTCGATTCTCCTTATATTGTTCTTGTCACTTAAAGAGTCATCAAACCACTTTCCTAAGCACTTGATGGGATTGTCAATTATTGATGGAATGACTTCTCCTTGCACCTTCAATTCAACTTGGTGTGTGCTCTTCCCTTTTCTTATTACCGGTATTAGAGCTCTAGACTTCTTTGGCTTGAAAGCCATCCTTGCCCATGTTACTGTCTCTTCCAAGGCCTTTAACGCCCATCTAGCCTGGACATGTGTATCAGTAGTTTCTCTCTCTCCAGATTTAATTATCATATTCATTCCCATGACAAACAAGATAACTGAGATGGTACGTCCAGTAACTATTCCTTCCTTTTTGTAGTTTCTGCAAGTTGTTGTAAATGTGCTTGTTGTAAACCGCAGCTCAATCCTACTGAGATAACTTCTTATCTTAAAGTGGTCTGGAATATGGTAATGATCTAGTGACTCCTGTATCAGCATGTGAGGAATAGTGCCATAGACATTGGCCAAATCTAACCATACTACTGTAAGATCTTTCTTGTTCACTTTGGCCTCTTGAATCAGTTGTGAAATGATGCTTGTATGTTCCACGCATCCTTAGAATCCTGGTACCCCGCCCTTCTGTACTGAAGTGTCTACATAGTTGTTATCTGTCATAAATGATGTCATCCTTCTAGCCATGATAGAGAAAAAGATCTTTCCTCCTACATTTAGGAGGGATATTGTTCGAAATTATGTGATGTCTTCTGATTTTTCTTCTCTTGGAATAAAACACCCCTCTGCTTTCTGCCAACATGATGGTATCTTCCCTTTCCTCCACACCACTTTCAGTAGCCTCCACAGGTGTTTCAAAATCTTTGGGCAATTCTTATATACCTTATACGGGATGCCATTTGGTCCTGGTGATGATGCAGACCTAGCTTTATTCACTACATCTGACACTTCTTTCCATGATGGTTCCTTAATATTCATTGGTATTTCTGGTTCTGGCACATTTTCTATCCTTTTGCAGTTTCCTAGATGTTCCCACTGCATAACGTCGCTGTGTCTCTCTGATAGATGTTTTTCCTCTTCCTCTTTTGTGCTTTTCGCTGATCCCGCCTCCGTTCCGTCCAGTGTTGCTTTGGTAAACTTGTAAGGCTTGGCAACAAACATTGCTCTTTTCTTCCGTCTTTCTTTCCTTACTTTTCTGATTCTTTCTGCTCTTTGTGATAGTTTCTTCTCTCCCTCAGTATTGATTTTAGCTCATTTAACCATTCTTTTTCCTTCTCGTTTGCTCTTCTATACTGCTTTGAGACATCATTTATTTCGGTTCTGAGTGTTTGTATTTCTTGTTGACGTCGGTTATGTTTGGTGTTACCCTGAGTGGCTTACACTGTTTTGGTGTTGCTACCTCCAAATCGTTCTTGTCCTACTGCATATACAATTGTTGACAATGATGATATATTTCTCTGTACATCTCCAGTTAGTGTGTTATCTAAGATCTTGTCTAGGTCTTCATCAAAGATCTCCCATCTCCTATCATCTGTTGATGGCCATTGTATCCTTTCTTTCCAGCTGTCTGTTGAAAGTATTGTCGCTGTTTTCTGTTGGTTTTGATTCCATTGCTCCTTCTCAATGTTGATCTGAGTAGCTTCCTTATGTAAGAGGTCCTCCGCACTGTGGTGTGCATCCTGGCTGTGGTCCTCCTTCGTCTCATCAGTGTTAACTGTGCGTTCCCTTTGCTGCTTCCCAGATCCACACTTAGTTCTTGCCTGGTGTATCTTTAAACCTTTTAAGTTCTTGCAAACCTTTCCACAATGACACTTAGTTTCTGCCGTTGTTCCAGTCAAAGTCCGTTGGATTAGCCGAGTTGTTACCGTTTTGTCCTGCTCAATGGGTCTCTCATCCTCCCCCGTCTCGGAAGACCCTGGGGGTATTGCTCGTTATTCTGTGTTGTAGCTTGGTATGGTGTTCCTTCACAGGAACAGCGTGTTGGGGTGCCAACCCTTCACACCCTTGTTTGTCTTCCCTGAATGCCATCTGTCTCCAGACGTCACCATTCTATTCTTGGTTGTTAGTCAGTCTTTCCCAGCAGTCACTGGTGTGTCCAGGTTACAAGTTACTTACATACAGTACTGGTGGAATTACTGCAAGTACCATCAATGTCCTCAGCAGTAATGGGTGAAATCATTCACAACTTTTGGTATGATTCAGAGTGTCACATGTGAATAGCCACCTATGAAGCAAGTTTTTTGTATTTGTAAGGCTTTGTCTTGGATATGGTTAAAAGTTTGGCCCCTGGATAATACATATGTTTTGTCTTATGTACCACTACTAGTTTCAACTTGAACTATTTACAATACACATCCATTTGATCATCATTCTTCCTCAGTAAGTATGTCAGTTATTTTCATTTCAAGATGCTCACACAAATACTTAATATGAGATTGCAACCTTACTTTAATATAAGGTCACGTAAAATATGATGGTCATCCCTATTGATTTTGAGGTCAATACCTCAAAGGGCAGGTCAAAGTTACTAAAAGTAGATTGTAATTTGTACCGAAGGTTGGTTTCTTGATTCTAAATCAAATACTACATATGTGCTTGTTAACTGGAGTAACTTAGATATATGATCCCATATAATGAGAGGAGGCTTCCAATTGATTTTGAAGTCAACACCTCAAAGGTCAATTTGTGCAAAGAAGTTGTTTCTGGATGTTACATTAAAAACTGCAGATAGGGTTGAAACCTTACATGAATATATGACCACTGGCGCTGCACTATATAAATCTGATTTTTTCATATGTTGTTCATCCATAATTTTAAACCCCAATGGTGACTGGGACATATAATGAGAGGTATATTCCTATTGATATGTGGTCGCTATAATCAAGGTTATGGTAACCAATATAGATTTGTGTAAGACAACTTAGTTTACTGTTTTTAAAAATATTAACAGAAAAATCATAGCTATCTTAAGTTACACAGAAACAAATAAACCATGTCACTAAATGCTTTTCCCTGTTTTAAGGGGCATGAGTAATAGAGCTTGCTCACTAAAGGGTCTTTAATGTTGTACATAACACTTTTAAACTTGAGTGCTGAATGAAGGAACCGTGTATT